AGACGCGGCGGGTCATTTTTCCCGCTTGTCCACCACTCTCGGGCTCACAACCTCTGACCGCCCGTCAGCCTTCTGGTCTGTATCAACCACCACACAAGACGGACCATACACATAGCTCGTGGCGGATACCTTTGTCATCGCTGTTGTTTCAGTGTGTGGCGAGGGAGCATCCATGAACCAAAGTTGCGGCATGGGCAAAAAAGAGCAAACAAAGCTGGTTGTTGGCGCGGTGGGGTTTTTCAAGGTGCTGTTGACTCTCGCCACCTCAGTTACCGTGCCTCCCACTGCCCTGTGGTCTCGATCAGCCGCCACACAAGGCGGACCAAGCACCCAGCTCGCGGGGGATAGCTTTACAGTTGCTGATGCTTCGCTCTGTGCGGAGATATCACCGAAAAACCAACTCGGTGCCAAGGTACTCATTGTGTGACGAACGGCCGTTGCACTTGTTGTTGCAGGGTCATTTTTTTTTGCGGATGAGCAAAAAGGATCGACCAGCACCGTAACAAGTGGGTCATCTTTTTGCTAGATTCTTTTTTGGTTCGTCCCTTTTTGAGAAAAGGGACAGCCCAAAAAAGGACAGCTTAACAAGTGGCCTAACTCCATCTCTACTCCTACACCACCAACCAGTCAGTTTAAATTCCATTTGTTGTTTTGTCGAAGGAAAGGATGCACTCCCAACAAACAGCCCTTACGGGCCCACGTTTATGGGAAGCGCCCATGATTCTATTTCATTTGACAGAGCACATAGAGCCTCGAGTTCTTAGTGGGAGCGACTGCTGGGGCATGAGGGAACTTGTGAATCAGGCAATCCGGCAATCCGCAATCCGGCACCTACAAAGCGGCGCCATATCAGAACAACTCCGAAACGACAGCAATCCCACCGCATTTTTCTTTCCAATTTTGGAACCTAGCAACCTAGCAACCTAGCGCGAGATGACGGGGATTCCAACATCGCCAAAGCGGCAGCGACTCGATTGGCGAGCAAACAACGGTGGTAGAACTTTCTTGTGGTTTACCATTCTCTGGGCTACACTGCACGTCGATCTCTGGCGCAAGCGAAAATTCAAATGGGCGAGAGACCGTTGGATGCAACCACAGCAGCAGCAGCAGCAGTCGTAGATGGAGAATTGACAGTAGATGGGACCGAAGAACGAAGTCCGGTGCCCGCCCGGTGTTTCAAGGCGATGGCCCAAGCACTCTTACAGGGACCGCAAGAGATGAGCCCTGCTGCAGGAGAAAAGGACGACAATCTTGTGTCGCTTCGATCTGAAAGTGGAGAACCCGAACAACACATGTCGTTACTCGACGCCGACCCTGCAGGATTTTACTCCGATTCAGCCTTCTTCGCACACGCTCCTCCCAGAGTAAGAGAACAAATCGTGCTCTACTGTAGCCTGTAATGCATAGTACGTGCTACAGTAGGTGTTTCGGCAGTTTCTTGCTGTGGTTCAGAATCGACGATGGAAGGAGTTGACGGAAGGTATGTAAACACTAAGCAAACGGCCTATCTATTGCGTGGACGATTTCACGTCCATCCATCGTACGTACTTCTATGATCCGTATCCTATGGAAGCACATGAACCATCAGTACCATCGCGATGCACTGCTGTGTAAGTTTTGCTTCCTGTTGCCTCCAAACCTGATCGAGAAACTCTGGAGACACAACAAGTAGAAGCTTTCTTTTAATTCAACCCCCCCGAAGCTGTGCTGCTGTGTCTCATGATTGTTTATTGAGGTGTAAGACTGTGCCAACTTCTTGGCACGCTCTACATGAATGTAGCTGTAAACTCTCGGCATGTTTGGGTTCTTCCTGATCTTCTACGCTCTAGTATTGGCACTGATCCAGAAGCTTCGCAAGACAACCTACAACGAATCTGCTGTGCCTTCCTCGCTGGCAGCCCGCGCGCGATAGCTGCGCGCGATGCGGGAATGCACCAGCGAGTGTGGTCTGTTTCAGCTGTTCAAGGTTCCAGGGGGCGGCCACGGGGTCGTACTGCTGTGATTGCTTCAAGAAATGCCACCCGTTTTACCGGGTGAAGCACAAATGGGCACGATTGGCGGACGTGGACCAGCAATCCTACAGAGCGACCCTAGAGAGGAATATTGCGGACATCCGAGGACTGCTTGAGCATGCTTCAGAATGGGGCAGTGAGCTCTGCATGCAAGATACCGACACGAAGGTGAACGATGTATGTATGTGTGTTTCCACAATAGTTTGGTAATAATGTAGTCTCGCAGGCGTGTAATCAACAGCAGTAGTCTACACATGTAATGTTGCTCAAGACATCCTGGCAAAAAGTGCTCCGCTTCTTGGGGAATGAAACCAACGAGCGATATGATTACGCCTTCTCAGCCATATTATTTGTCGTTTCGCGATCGTTTCTCTTTTCTTGACCTTGTCTCCCTGTTAGGGCGATGATGCTATCAAACGAGTGGCCAGACTCGATGAGGCTCTGTCTGTCAAAGTCAGGTATGTGTGTGGAGCGAGAGTAAACATGCACTCACTCGAATGCAGTTGAGCGGCATGCTATGGCTATGCATGCATGCGGCCGAAGAGAATCTCGTCGCATCAACTCGTTGCGGTTCCAGCATCATTTATTTCCAGTAGACTGTAAACACTTCACCCGGGGTGTGTCTAGTTTTTAGTGTTGAGCAGCAAATAAATAAATGCAATTTGACGTTCCCAAGTCCGCCCTCGTGGATTCACTGTGTTTCCGTTCTCTCAGAGACCTGAAGGACTTGACTTGCGAAGATGAGGATCGTACAAAGGTAGGTGTGGCAAGATTGGAAAAAATTGCTCTCTCCGCATACATGGTGCGCGTGTTTGCACCATCTGTACCGTTAATCACATAATAATTGTATCACACAGCTTGCCTCGGGCAACCGTGCTGGTCCTCTAGGATTGTTTTTTGTTTACGTTGTATGTGGTGCTGCAGAGTTTGAGAAAATAATTCGGCAAATTTAAAAACTGTAGACTTGGGCGGTCCAAGCTAGTTGAAAAATTGCAGGACAATAGTGTGTGCGACGTGAGGCATCAACCCTGTATGCGACAACTGTTGGAACGCGGCGTAAATTACAGTGTACCCCTGCCAATGCGCCGGAAAATATTTCTGCTGGGACGGCCGGCGGCGGAAGCAGCTGGCAGCGTAATTTTTTAGGCAGACAGTCATTCCAATGAGGGTATCGCAGCTTGCCCTCACAAAATACAACACCACCGGTGCTAGTGCATTTGGATCTCCACCCACGTACACACCCCGTGGGTAAGGTGAATGGAATGACGGAGCACATGCAACCATCATATAGTAGTCTAAAAGCAGTGCGCGCGCACGTAAGAAATAACAAATAAATGTAGCTGCTGACAGCCGGGATAAAAGTAATCAGCCTTCGCGAGGCAGGTGACTGGTGTGTGCCCCGACCCTGCCGTTGGCAACGTATCCCGGGAAGGGAGGCATCTATGTGCAAGCGCAAATTTCTCCCATCTCGAGTTTCGTGCTTGATAAATTCGATCACCATAGAGAGAAAGTCATCAATCATCAAGTTGTTGTGAGCGTGCAAATTTCGGCGGAAAACTCCGCCTCGATAGGCGGCAGAGGTGTGCTCCTAACCTTTCGTTGGAAGGCTAAATAGGTTCACACACGATCATTCCTGTTGTAGATTAGACGGAGCTTCAATTTGATGGCGGGTAGCCAACGATTAGGCGAAACATTATCGAGATCGGAGCATTTCGTGCTGTTTCGTGCCGGGAGCACCTTATACGTGCTGGATATTCGTGCGTGGTAAGTCCGATCATCGACATTGCCAAATTTTGACGAGAGAGGCGCCAATCAAGACGACTTTTGCTGACGGCGTCTAAAGTACGTACATAAGGAGGCCCGATTGGTCTGATTCCTGGCGCATCGGGCGGTCGCGTCAAAAAAGCGTGTGGTTTGGAGCTTCGGCGTGAACGACGACATTCATTCACTCACATTTTTTTTTCCGTCCTCTGAAACCTCTAGAGACCGTATCGGTCTCCTAGAGGAACAAGCAAATCGAGTTCGGTCGGGAATACTGCCAGCAACCGTTGTGTAGTAGGGTGTCCGGAGTGAGGTGGATTAATGCAGTGCACATACATACGTTGGTTTGATGAACAACGTGAAGTTCTTGCCTTTTCTTGTCACAGGGAAAGGGTGAATGTCATGATACGAAGAGTGCCCCATCGAGCAACGAATGCCAACGACACCGGTCCCAACACGCTGTGCATGCTCCTTAACCGAAGGTGTCCACGACGGCCGCGACATCTGTGGAGGCGTTCGCCCAAAAGTTCCAGAAACGATACGAAGAGCGGGAGATCGCCGATGCTGCAGAGGCAGGGGGCGTTGGGGCCAAGAAAAAGTTCCAGTAATATTGTTAAGATTCTATTCATTGGTTGGGGGCACCTCCCACTGTTCTGAGGCGTCGATATTCAACGACGGCTGTAGGCGGATGAGGTACGCGGGGTGTCGTTCCTGGAAAAGGGGACCAGCGGTTACGTTGTTGCCCACGTAGGCCGAGTTCAACACGTCGGGCGTTTTCTTGTTCTCACTTGCTTCTCTTGTCTCACAGAGCGATAGACCGACCACGACAAAGTGCACCCACATCCAAACGGGAAAAGCGCGGCACATACACATGGGGGCACATACACATGGGCAGGAAGGCTTAAAACCCGACCTTTCACGACGCGGACGTCCACATAATCCTGCTGCAAATGCCATCAGCAAAACGCGCTATTATAGAGAAATAGCGGCGTGCGCAGTTAGTTCACAGCGATTGTCAAAATATTTGTTTGGAACGCCGTTTTCTAGACTTGCACAAAAAAGCTGGGGACTTGATACACCTCCCCTTCTCTTTCAGTGCCGCCGCAGAACGCTACCGCTTACCATCGACCCCGCCCTCCCTCCCCCAGACTATCCCTCCCCAGTAAAAAATGGACTGAATCATCTATTCGCGAAACCGACGGCAGCAAAGCAAAAACTTGTTGAGATCTAGTCGACACGGACCGGGGTGCTAGCTAGGTCGGGAGAGTCCTCGTACGGCGGTTGTACGTCGCTCGAGGGGGCGGGTCCGCTACCGCCGCCGCCGCCGCCGCCGCTGTCTTCTTTTCGTGCGAGCCGAAGCCTGACCGCCTGGCCTTGCAGAAACCCAAGCCGGCCTCGGAGAACCTTGGCGACAGCGGTGTGCCCATTCGCCTGCCGCGCGGCGGCAGCGTCACCGGGCGGGGGGAAGGCGCGACAGCGGCGACAATAACGGCAGCAGCAAGCAGCAACGGGGTGTTCTTGACGGGAAGCTCGGAACAAGGCAGCAGACAAAAACGCGCACCTCCTCTGCTGCAGTAACAGCCGCACGAATGATCAACGAACGCCCAACACGACCTAACAGCATACTAATAAACCGACGGCGACGCTAAGTAGCAGCTGGATCAACAGCTCTCTACATATATCAATCATCTCTCTCCTGGATCACGGTGCAGGCGTGTGCTTTTTGCTCACACCTCTGCCGTCTTGAGAGCCACCAAGAGCGCAGCTTCCTCGTTTTCCTCGTCCACATCGTCCTCGCTCGCCCCCTCCCCGACCTGCCCGCTCCCGGTGCCGCTCCTCGGACGGAGCCGCTGCGCCCTGCCCGCCCCATCCCCGCTGCTCCCACCCGGGTTGTTGCCGCCATCGATGGAGGCAGGGGCGGGTGGGGGGGTCGCGCCTCTCCCGGCTATGCCTCCCTCCCTCGCCACCCAGGACCCTGTGCGACGGACAGTGCCGACCCCTCGGCTGATACCATCTCGGACGCCCGCCTGCATTGGTGGGGGGGGCGGTCAAGAGCGCGGGTTGCGCAGAGTTGAGGGTTCGAGCAAACTTCATAGCCGCGATAAGGGTTAGGGGTAAGCAAAGCGGGGCTCAGTGGGGTAGATTGTACCGGCGATAGGTGGTACAACGACATAATAGTGTAGAGGGCATGGGATAGGGGCCGAGGTTAGGGCGGCCGGGGTACTAAAAGGGTAGGGTGAGCTGGAGCCTCCGACCAGATCTCCTCTCGCGGGGGCGTGGGATGGGGCACGGCCTATGTAGCAGATGCGGGCAGCACCTGGTACTAGTACTACGGGATATCCATCCGCTGCTTCTGACGCAATGACAATCCTGATCAGTGGGTGAACATGATGCACATCGAATAAAGGGCATGAGCAGGGCTGAGGGTTTGAGATGTGGGTCGAGAGTCAAGGGGGGACTGTACCGTGGATCCCGAAAGATAATATGCACCCCGAACCGGTTTTTCGGAAAGCTATCGGCGCGATGGCTGCAACGGAGTCACCATTTTTTATTTTCTGCAAGGTGATCGAGCTTTGAAAATCGGCCCAGGGTGTGACATATCTTACATCATGCATCTTACCGCACGACGAGAGACAGGGATGGGGTTCTAGCAGAGGCAATAGCTCGCTGGCTGACTGGCCGGAGCGCAAAAGTGCAGCTGAACAGCATCACAAGACGAGGGGTTGACCTTGGGGGGCGTGTTTGAGGGCCAAGAGAACCACGTGGCTTGGGGAAGAGCCAGAGAACGGGGCTGGGGGTTGGGACATGTGGAATACAAACACTGGACACATCGACAAGAGCATTTACCTGACAACCAGGGCTCACTGTTTCGGAATACATTCGACCAGCTATTGTGGTCGGGGGGGGGGGGGTTGGTGGTGGTGGAACCACGGCGTGCTTCGCACCTGCGCGGTCTTCACCGCTCCCAAGATGGCCTGCACATCGTTGCTGTCCACGAGGCCCCCGTTCATCAGGTTGTTCAACCCGCCGCCACCGCCACCATCGGCACCCTCCTCGTCCTCCCAGATGTTTCCACTCTCCGTTCTCGCGTGACCTCTGGGAGCGGTTTGTCCACGGAACCTGAAGAGGTGACTCGACGAAGATGCGAGCGCTTACGGTGAGAGAGGGTGGTTGTGAGCTAAATACTCTCCAAGCACGCGCGGCGTGCGCGGCCGCAGAGAAGCCTGTTTAATCGGCCGTTTTGTTTCACGCTGCCGTCGTCGCGCGAAACTTTCTTCACATACCGTTTCTCCACCTCATCCCCGAGGACGGCTCTCACGGCGCGGGTTTTCCGCTGCTCCAAGGACCAAAGGAGAGTGAACGCGACGCCGCATGAATGCGTACATCATGCGCACCCTCCGCATAGACCGCGTCGAATAGGGCTGTGATCGAATAGACTGCGTCGAATGGATCGTGTCCAATAGACCGCGTCCAATAGACGGCGTCCAATAGACCGCGTCGAACATACGCCGCAACAAGCAGTCCGGACACCTCTTGAGCACATTGAAGCAAGAAAAATCCGTTCCGCAACACTTTTGATTCAACTCTTTTTCGACGCCGCCACAGCAGTCACATCAAAATCCACGGGGCAAGGCACAACCAACGCGTACCTGCCCTCCTCCCGTTCCTGCTGGTGGACCATGTCGCCGCTGTCGGCCGAGAGAGCGGACGGGATTATCATGCCCGCGCCGCCTCGAACGGCCCAGGCCCCCGTCCGGGCCACGGTGCCCACGCCGTGGCTCACGCCGTCCCTCACTCGCACCTTTTCGCGTCGAGACGGACCAAAAGACCGAGCGGACAAGGGCAACGGTGGGGTAAGAGAAGAGTGTGGGCGCAAGAAAATCTGTTTGGTCCATTTTTGTGTTTGAGAATGAATTTTATTTTTGGTGGGGGAAAGTCCCTGGTCGACAGGTACCTAATTCCATCCAGGGAGGTGGCAACATCTTTTTTTCGTTCGTGAACCTTGCACGGGGTTTGATTAGTGCATGGAATCAGAACTTATTTGCTTTCGACAGGCCCGCCGGAGAGGACACCGGCAAAACATGTCCCCGCAATTTTCTGCACGGCCAATACTTCGGAAATAGTTCAGGAATATATATGTTTTAAGGAATGTTCCGGTTGGTGCAAATCCCAAGTCGACCCGTGACGTCATCAGAACGCTCAATCAGGCGCTCCGCAGGAGACACCGACAAAAGAGGACAAGGCGCGAAGGCTTGCAGGGACTCGAGGCCCCGAGATGAAAACCTCACCCATTTTTCCATCGTGCACAGGCGTCAGTCGTGACGGTAGAGTTACTAGTGTATCATAGCCCACTTTCGTCTTTCGGCCCTCCAAGCCCGTGTATGTGTTTCACACGGGAGGAAAGCACGCCTCCGCATCGAGGCAAAAAAGAAGGGAAAAAAAAACGAATCCCCATCACAGGAGAACGTTCCACACGAGAACGACAAGCCTTTCCCACGTTTTCAAGGCGACCGACCTGCCCCGCCCTTTCGTCCAAAAAAATTAAAAATGCCGCTGTACCACTCCACATTTTTGAAACGCATGGGTTCAGCTCACCAGCCCGAGCCGGTCGAGAACGCCGACTTTCGATTGGCCAGTCTCCACTCCCCCTCCACCTTCCGCCCCGCCCCCACCACCTCCGCCGTACTCCTCTCGCTGGTGCTGGCGCCCGTCGTTCTGATGAGAGGCGGAGGAAGAACCGCTGTAGTGGCTGTTGCTGTTGCTGTTGTCGCCGGTTTTGCCGTCCCCTTCTTCCCTCCAGGAAAACGCCTCTCCTGCCCTGCTCCCAATGGGGGGGGGTGACGCGCGGCAAAAGAAGCGTTCAATCGCTCTAGAGCTATCTTTCCCATTCGCCGTTGGTCTCGGTGCAGGAGGAAATATTTCGCGTCAGGTGTCCAGCTAGCTACCTCACCAACGCTCAATACAATTTCAGGCTTTTCTTTTATCCATGCTGTCTTGCTGTTTGTGCCGCTGGTCCCGATTTCTGACTGGCGTGGCTCGCTGTTTGTGACCATTTCACGTCTTATCATCGTAGTCAGGAACATAGACAGGTGAAAGGAAGGCTGTTACCATCTTGGCTCAAGTGTTAGGGCAGGGCAGGGCAGGGTACAGGGGAATCACTGCTTACCTGGCTTGCTGGCATGCGTTTGGCATATTTCCGGCGGTGTTACAGTGAGGGCTTGGCTTCACTCTACAACAATATCGGCGTGCCGCGTCCTTTGCGCGATCGATTCAAAACAATAAACGTAGACACACACACACATTTTTGCATTGGTCAGCCGGCTAGCGCGGTCGATTCAAAGTCGAAAACACACACATACTTCATTATCTATGGCTATAGATGGATTCGTTGTGTAATACAAAGCAATAGGAAAACACACACACACCCTTTGAATAGAAAATGCTCGTGTTTGTGGTATCCCGCTACAAGACTGGCGTCTTTTCATCGGTCAGTCGGTCACCACGGAAGTTGTCCACAAAGAAACAAGACACACACACACACATGAGGCCCCCTCACGAGGTCCAAGATCATCGAAGCAGTTTCTGTTTTCAGCCGCACTGAGACTACCATGATTTCATTGGTCAGTCGGCTAGCGCGGTCGATGCTAGTCCCAAAAACAAACACACACAAAAACACATACACACAAACAAACACACACAAACCTGCTGGCGGATTCCCTACGCTGGCCTTCCGGGGGCAGCGCTGCCGCCAGGCGGCGGGCTTGGGCCTCTCTCCAACGCTGATACGCTTCCGGGTCGTGGTCGATAACCGTAGGCTCCAGGGGGCTGCCGCAAGGAATGATGGCATGGGGTGGGGGGGGGAGTCGATACTCCTACGTAGTCGCAGGGTTGTTTCCTGTGAACGGTATGCATCCTACGGGTGGTGGGTCGATACCCATAGATCGTCAGAGTGCTGTTCCTGGGAGTGGGATGCTCCGACACGACTGAATGCGCAGGCGGCCGGTCCGGGCAAAGCAGCGTCACCGCTCCCGTTCTAAACGCGGAGCCGGCCTCCAAACGTTCGAGAACACGCGTCTCTCGCAAGCGATTGCTTCTTGCCCTCTGGCACGCCATTCGACAGCCGCCAGCGGTGGCCATGTAGCGGCGTTGCCCGGCCGCACGCAATCGGCACCTACGCACGCTGTACAACAAAGGAAACCTATTACAACAAAGCTGCCGCTGCTTTTCAGAACAAGCCACAGCGCTAGTAGCGATCCTCGTTGGGAGAGGGCGGGTTTTTTCTCACATCCCCTCCTTCTTGAGGTGTTGGACGATGCCTTCCATGCCTCCCTCCAAGATGGACACGTACGGAAATCCTCTCGCGTGGAGCCTCCGGGCGAAGGCCTGCCAACAAATGCGCAGCAGCCAACAGCAATCGGTTAGTTGAGGGGCTAAAACAGTCAACGCGCCGCGCAAATTGGTTCGTTGGGGGGCAAACAAAAAATCAACCCGCCGTGCAACTGGTTAGTTAGCTGGGGGGGCTAAACCAGTCAACGCGCCGTGCAATTGGTTTGTTGGGGAGCAAAAAATGGTTAGTTCGGGAGCTAAAACAATCAACTGACCAAAAATCATATTGCCGCGGTAATATCCACGTGGTGAGATCCTCGGTCACGATTTGCAAAAAACAAAAACTCGAAGTGCACCATTACGGTCCGTGTGGTTGCTGCTGCTGTTTTTCATGTGTTCCTGCTGCGCCACCAAGGCTCGATGCACCCATATACCAGCCATGTACGCACAACGACAGAAACAAAACGAAAAACTGTACACAAAACCATGACCGGAAAATGATTGTTGGAGAAGCACCCATCCCCCCCCCCCCCCCCCAACTCCTGGAACGAAAGATTGGACATCAGTGATCGGTCATGTGAGGACAATGCTCCGTCCTCTCGAGGATGTGTGGTCAATGGTCTAACAGCGAAGGCATGCAGAAGCATGAGTACCCCCCCCCCCCCCTCTTTCACCTTCGCAGCTCCGAAACCCTCTCCCGGGCCGCCTTCGACTACCCCCACTACCCCTGAACCTCCCCCACGAGAGGCACGATCGCTGCCATCAGACGGCTGCCGCTGTTCCGGCTGCTGCTGCTGCTGCTGGCACTCCCAATCTGGTGCATCCGCGTTGCCCTCTCTCCCGCCCGCCGTGATGGGATCCCCCTCCCCGAACAAAAGACGTCTCCACAAGGGGTCCTCGATAATCCTGCCCCCCGCCGATGCTGCTGCCCCTGCTGCTGCTACTTCTCTACCCGCCCTGTCCTTCTCAGCAGCCTCGCTCCCGCCCCGTCTTCGCTCCTCTTCTCGTCGCTGCTTCTGCTGCTGCTGTTGTTGGCCTCCACGCCCCCCGGCTTCATCACCGTGCCCGCCGCCGCTGCTGCTGCCGTAAGCGCCAGAGCCGGTGGAGGGGTCGAGAGAGTCGACGAGGCACACGTGAGTCCCCCGGGTGCCGTCGAAGTGCTGCATCCACTTCTCCAAGACGTCTTCCATCTCCAACAGGTAGGGATCCAGCCGTAGAGACTGCGTCCGGGGCCAAAAAGAGACAGGGCAGGGGTTTATTAGCGTGTGTCCGTGTGTCTTGTGGTGGAGTGGATTGGGGGGGGGGTTCGATCGGATTGTTGTGGTCGCAGGGCAACGAGGGTGTGCCGTGTGTGATGGTGTCATGAGAAATAATAGCGGGTTGGAATGGGTTGGGTTGGGCTTCGATTGCAGTCTTTTGGTCGTCGGGCAACAAAAACAGTGTGTGTGCGTGCGGGAAATCGTGGATCAACGTACGACGCTGTGCTACCGGCCTTTTTTTTCTCTGACCTGTTTTATACCATGGGCTGCTGCAGGCGTCGCCAGGTGAAGCAAAGACAAGATGCACGGTACGAGTACCGGCAAAATCAGCAGAACCACCGTCAACCAAAACAGCATCTGTAGAAAATGTACTGGATGAAACATGTTCTTGCACTGTTAAGTCTACCGGTGTGCGACCGCAACGGTTGAAGATTCTCGTCGAAGTCAACCAGCCGATCGCCACTGCTGACTTCAGTAACATCTTGGTGCGTTCCAAAACATGCTGCACGGAGATGGAACACCGTACCGTACCGTGAAAATGCGATTACCCAAAAGAAGCACACATATGTGCATTGTGTAGAAATCCATGTTCCGTACTACGTCTCCCCTTCCCAGGCCGTTCCAGTTAGGGGTTACGAGCGGTAATCTTGCCAGACGGCCACTAACGCCTCGCTCGAATTCATACACTACAGGGACACACCGATAACCAATCCACGAACCCGGCACCGATGGGAGTACTGTATGTACCAAGACGTGCTGTGCCAGACGGCGCGGTGCAGAACGGGTATCACAGACCAGTGACTACGGCCAATTAGCTCTATCGAACTGTTGTCTTTGTTTAGCGCCTACGGCTATTTTAGCTCTATCGACTGCCGCCATTGTTTTAGCGGCTCCAACGCCGCTGCTTCCCCAGCAGTAGTGCATGGCAAGAATTAGGTGACAAGGCATTGCGACCAGAAATACACGCTGAAAATAAACACCAGTAGTGTACATGCCTATCGCACGTCAACCGGGCACCCACATCCACAACAATCATGAACGACAAAACCACCAACAACAGCACACACACCTCAAGAAAACAACCGACCACAACAACAACAGCAACGACAAGCGGGGGCAACTGGCCAAGTACGTGCTTCGCGCGATGTCCAACTGTGTTGGGGCCTCTGAGTCAAACCTTACCCTTCCGCGGATAGGACAAGGACAAGATGTTTGGCGGTGCTCGGCAGGGTACTGCTGAAATACGGGGCCTCCGGGGGGGTTAAAAGCGGATGATACCTGTATGATGGACATGCCGCCTGGGAACCGTCTTGCCTCCCGCATTCCTGCCACTCTCTTCAGCAAAAAAACTTGTTTTGCCAACCTTGTTTCTCGCAGCACTATGACATGATTCTCGCACCTTTCCCAGGTGCCCGGCCCCGCTGTTCTCGTAGTCGTGCAGTGGCCGGATGTCCAGCGCAACCGTGTCCACCGCCCCGGGCCGCATCGGGCAAGGGCTGCGGTTTCCGTCCGCTGCTGCGACCTTTCCGTCGCGTGTCCCCTCCCTACCGTCTCCGCCCCCGCCCTCCCCATCCCCCGGCGACCTTCTGGCCATCCTGTCCAGGAGCTCTCCCGGGCCGATCGAGACGCACCTGCGGCGGGGCGCCGAAATGTGCAAAGAGCCGTTTGGGTGCACGCAGTATACGCGTCCCCTCTGCAAGCCCCATGGAGTGAGATAAGGAGTCCAGACTAAAGAGAGTATGGACGAAAGAACTTGACCTGACCATGCAAGAGCAGGGGCTCATGTAAGAATCCTATTACTTAATATCCTACAACCCTGGAGGTGTTTTCGCTGTTGGGTGCTACCCCACACAGGGAAGGGAAGCAAGAAGCGAGTCTCGCGGCAACGTAAGAAAAAGGCTCTTGCGCGTGCGGGCGCGGCCTGTGCACGACGAGCGGGCGACGGATACATCGAACGTTCGGTCCATGAGCTTGGCCTAATTCAGGCCAACGACCACCCTTCCGAGTCACGGCAATCGCGGAGTGCGAAAAACAAAAAATGGAAGCGTGTCCGCTATGCAACGCTATGGATTTTGTTTATCCCGGACTCCTTCTATAAAGACATGAATTCGTTGTGGTTTGAAAAGAGAAACAAAAGGACTCTTAAAGTTATCTCTAATGTATCCCGTACCAACCTGACGGATTCGCAGAAGAGAGAGCGGGAGGTGTCCAGGGGCACGTTGCACTGGTCGCTGCAGCAGCTGCGAACGGTCTGGAGGAAGCTTTCGGGAACTTTCCTCAGCATCTCTCGCGCCTGCACTATGAGTTCCTCCAGGTCCTGACATTTATTCATTTTTTTCCGGTCATTTCAAGCGCAGTGTTCGAACAGCAATCAATCGCACAGCTTGAGTGAAATCCTTCGGAGAGAAACACAGAAAAAATCACGCCACGAAATTCAGCATCATGACTGAACGACCACCGCTAAATCTTGTGCAGTGCTGCTGTCGACCACGTCCGTCCGAAACATGGTCAAACACGGCCACCCAAAAATCGTCCAAACGTGCAGCCGAACGACAGCAGCCTAAGCGCCCGCGTTGATTGTGCGGCATGGCAGCCCTACAACACGAAACCACACGTCAACCGAAAACCAAAACACACCCACCCACACACACACGCATGATCGAGGAACAGGATGACGACATAGATCCCGCCACAACCCCCACCAGCACACCCACCTCCTTGTCGGTGACGGTAAGGCTTTGGATCATTTCCGGCATCATGTGTGCCTGGTCCACCCCCAGGATCGTGTTCCTGGAAACGCAGCAACATTACAAAAACAAGCACAACAACAAGACGCGTAGAAAAAAGCGGTCATATGGGTGGCGCGGGGGGCAACCAACGCCTTCCCGGAGCGAGGACCTCCTCGATCGATGTCTTTCAGGTTATAAGAAAAAAAGGTACCGTATGCTACAATCACACTTAAGAGTACCTATCGTGCCATGTTTGTTGTTAGTGCAGGCGATGAGGGGCTGGGAAAAAGTAGTGTTGGGTACTCGACAGAGCTCCTCGTGTTGTGAAGACAGAGCTCGTCGTGTTGTCAAGACAACGGACAACACTTAACACACGGATGTGGATGGGTGTAGTGTGGCAACCGGGGTAAAAGCCAATATAGAACGGCAAAAATCGGAGATAAGAAAACAAAGGAAAATATGGCGTGCGAGCCACCGCGAGTGATCCATAGCCGAAGAGTGAAACAAAGAAGACACCACGGTGAAGGCCCTTCTCTTTTTTGCACGTGTTCAATGGCACTTGCAGGCGAGAGAAACTGTTGCCATCTTCTGCCAAGGCTGTTTGTTGTCTTGGGGTCTGCCTCTCGAACAAATACACAAACCACAGGGAGCGTTCCTCTCGTCTCTATGCAATGCACACGTCCTCTTATGCAATCACAGGGCTGCTGCTGCTGCTGCTGCCGCTACTGCTGCTGTGTGCGTAGTACGTGGTGTTATTGGTACGGCGGTGGTTACCTTGTTCGGTCGCTAGCTATTATAGCTTGCCTGTTACGGACGAGGAGAGCGGCGAGCAGGAAGAACACGAGGGAGGGGTCGTTCACCGCCAGGTACACGTCCCAAAGCCTCACCACCAGCTCCATCGTCAAATTCCTGCAGTCGTGGACGTGAAAAACGAGGGGGGGGAGGGTGAATGCCCGAAATCTTCCACATCTCGTTCGCAGTTGGCAGCAAGCCCCAACACAACCAACGCCACGCACGAGGCAGAGCTAATGCTGGAACAGCCCTGTCGCCCGGACAGACGGCACGGCAAGGTCATATTCTATTGCTCGAAAACACAAAATCGAACTGATGATGAAATAAAATGGGAGTAAATTTCCAGCACCATATGTGCCACACGGCTCTTCTTTGATATGTCGACCATGAGCCAGAGATCGCCACTCGAGACCGAAAGCCAAAATACAACACCCCCTCCCGCGCTACGATCGCAAGAACCTCCGCCACCCGACTACCGGAACTATGATAAGTGGCGGCCTCATCGTTGCCCCCTACACTGTGGACAAGCAAAAAAAAACAAAACATGTATCAGTCAAGTGGGATGTGAGACGCACAAGAAGCCGCCACAGGCACTCTTCAGAGGGTAGGCATGACCAAACACGGAACCTCCGGGACAAGGAAGGCTCTTTCTTAATCCGCAGAAGTACCCGTGTCGATCCCACGCAGTCTGCGACGACAAAGCCTCACCCGCTGGCAAAATCACCCGGAGCCGCACCGCCCCCCCCCCCCCCCCTCGAAAACAAAATCCTCGCCGTCACAAGCGTTCCGCTCAAAACTGCAGCAACGACCTAACAACCACGCAAAAAAAAAAAAAAAATTAGCACCAAAGATGTTGGGTGGCTTGGTGCGCCCGGCGCAGTTGTAGACGGCAAAAATAAAAGAACCGCGCGGCGAGTTTGCCGGCAACGATAAAATACAGTAAACTGCCCACGGGTGTGGTAACCCGCCGCATCTATGATGTTCCGGAGCGTGATAGCTCTGATGTGTTGACGCTGGTGCTGTGATAGCTGTTGTGATGGCGTGATAGCCTAGAGGCGTGAAAGCCTGGCAGCGTGATAGATGGTGGATAGGTAGTATGGGCACGGGCGTGATAGCCCAGGGCGTGATAGCCGGGAAAAAGGAAGATGAATAAATCAAGGGCACGTGGCCAACACCGTTGCTGACACGCATACCCAGAAAACAATAATATGTGGCAAAGATGGTACCACCATTCCCCCAATTTATTACAACTGCGGAACCCCCAAAATCCCCCGCTCCATCTTCTAGGAACATTCCTCGGTTGCAATAATCTGTCAATGCTGTGAGTACATCCAACAGCCCCCCTGCTCGCTGCATTGTCAAGATTATACCCGAACTTGCTTATATTATGCATCACACGAAACCCATCCCAAAAACTCCAGAAATCAATGTCATTGTGCAACAGTCGTTTCTCCTCCCATCCTCTTGCAACAACCATAAACCATTAAACCAGAGAGACTAGTTCGAACTTCCATTTGTCGCAAACGAACCAGAAACACCTACTACCAGAATCTCCATCGGTCTCCATTGTATCCAGAATCTCCAAAGATCAAAACATTCACTAAAAACCATTAAACCAGAAACACTTGATTGCAATTCCCATCGGTTCCAAACCATTAAACCAGGAACACCACCAACAATTTCCATCGGTCGCTCATGAATTTCAAATTCCCAATATCAAATCATCCAAAACTCAAATCGTGGAAACAACCGCCAATGGGTTATATCAGGAACAAATGAAAACGAACACAAATGCAAACACATCCAACACCGTCCGGGACAAATCACTTTCCGAGGAGACTTCAAATCCACACGTAGCACAAGAATCATGATTGCACAAAAATGCTCGACTCCACAATAATACCTCATCCTCATAACAACACGAAGACCATTAATACAAAAAAACCCTTTCGAGTATTTTCTATCGGCCAATCTTGAATTCAATGTCCAACAAACACGATGAAATTACAAACCAGAATACCTCAGCAACATGGGAGCAACACCAAACCTGCCTCAGAAACAAAATCTCCTTGAAACATGTGACATCGCTACGTGCCCTGCCTGCGTGGTTGACAGCGCGAGGTACATTGGAGTCATGGAGTGCTACAAAGATAGGCCCCCCTTCTTCTTTCATTATTTTTCCTCAAACACAAACAAACCTCCGTTCGTTCAGTTTCCTACAATACCTTTTATTTTCTTCCTGCATACCCTACCCATGCATGTCTGGCTGCGGCCCCCCTTCTCCGAACACCAGACGTGAAGGGATCAACCCTCTACTTGATAAACGCATCTTGTGACATTTGGGTACTGGAAACAACCCCAAAATCGCAACCTGCATTGTCAAATCCCGAACTCTGCAAATCGAACATCGAAAACAGACGAAACATTCCATTCTTCGTAACATTGCTGTAGTTAATTGTCATGACACACCAATTCCCCCCCCAATGACAATTGACAACAGCATCGAAGACATAGCATTTTATATAAATAGAGGGGTTACCCCTGGGCCGATGGTACATGGAGAGGCGCGCCAAACACACAGGGGACAACAACAATGTAGATAGAGCCTTCTACCTAAAAAAAAATGCCACACGCAGAAGGAAAAAACAAAAACAACAAGCACAACCATAGTAGCGGCCTTCGCGACATGGCCGCAAGGATTCAAACCAATAACCCTATTCCATCATCATGATCCTTTCTGAACAGTTTCAACGCAGCCTTCATGCCGTCAAATATTCTTGCAGGTGCAATTTCAATCGCAAAATCAAATCCGAAAGAACGCCGAAACAAGCCAAAACCAAAAACCAACCAAAAAAACAATTCCGGATCCACAAACCCGCATACATCTGTCACTAAACCGCCGTTGCCCGTGGTTTCCATCCCCGCTGGGCGATGCATCCTTCTCTGGAAATTATCTCAAACCGTCAACAGCACAGAACCATTCTCAGACAAATACCAAACAAGCGGCAGCGCTGCATCAGAAAAACATCGGAATGGGGACGGACAATTCTGAGGAAAACAGCTTCAAAGAGTAGGCACAAAAACTCAAACGAAACAATGTTACAATTTCTTGGACGACAGAAACGAGTATTCGGAAAGCACATAGGCCCTAACAATCACTCCTGCCAACTCCTTGCTCCAGTATAGTCGTTGAGCACCAAACTAAACAGTGCGCACACGCAAATCGGTGCCGCCGTTGCTGTCCACGAAACGGATAGAAAACTAAACAAACATATAGACAGCCCCCCGCTGTCACATCCCGAAACATACCCCTTACATTTCCAGAGTTCATGCAAGAACACTCCGCGAATATCAAAATGCCAACTAACAAACATGGAGACAGCCCCCCTGCAAAGGTAGCTGTTCATATGGGGAAACAAAAACAAATCGATTGCTGTTCATGCCCTCTAGAATCATGGTCACACATGACATCCCCCCCCCCATGATTCTGGATGTACATAAAAACAGCAACAAAGAAAAAAAAACCAGTGCAAAAGTAAAACGCGCTGCCAGAAAGAAAGGCAAAAAAAACTAAACTAAACACGAAACCCACATTGTTAGATCAGACTCGATGTCGTCGCGCGATGCAAGGCGCGTCACGAGCCCAAACGGAGTGCCCCGCTCGGAGGGGCGACCCCCAGCAGGTTGTTCTTGATCTCCCACATGCACCCCTCCCAAACATCCTGTTCTCCACCGCCCTCCATCTCGTCGCCCCCCAGCTCGCCTTCCCCCAGCTCACCGGTCCGTATCATCCCAGGCCAAATCATCGGCTTGCCGTTCAATACGCGCCGTCGGAGATGGATGTGGTCCATCGGCCTCGGAGGTCGGCACCGATTTGCGTGTCGGCAACGGCGCGGCGGTAGTAACAGCGGCGGGCAGCGGAGCGGCGGTAGTCCTCGTCGCAGTCATCCGCGGGTCCGGCAGCGCGGCGACATCCGGCGAGGATGCAGGCGGCACGGGTGCCCCGGGACTTGGCGGCAGCGGCGGTGGTGCGGCGGCGGCGGCGGCGGCGGCGGCTACAGGCCAAGGCGCAGCGGTGGCAGCGGGCTGCGAAGCGGCGATGGCCCCGGGTCCCAACTCCCTGGGGAGGGTGTTCCCTTGTTGCTTGGCAGTCAAACTCAAAACGGGTTGGGGAAAGTAGCCAGCGCGGTGGTGGAAACCGTCAACATCCATTTGTTCGGCACGACCCAACACAGCCACATCACACTTAGACGCAACACCTTCCCTCGCATCAAACATCCTCGCACTCGTCCCCGAGTCTCCCTGCAACTGCTCACCACCTTTGGGTGTTGACATCCTAGTGTGCCATACCGGGGCTTGAAAGGTCACAGCAGGCTTCACCACAGGAACCACAGGAACATCAGGCACAGACATACCAGCAACGGGAACACCAGACACCTCCCCATCACTAACAACTCTAATCTCATTTCCAGACACAGAATCAGACTCGCCTAGAGAATTCACACTACGTGTGAGGAAGAGACGAAGAGGGGCGCCACTTGCTGGAGGAGTGTCGCCCGGAGGTGGAGAGGGGGTCGCCGTCGAGGAGGCAGAGGTCGTTGGATTAGCGCCGATGTACTGCTGCTGCTGCTGCTGCTGCTGCTGCTGCTGCTGCTGCTGCTGCTGAGTCGCCGGCTGAGTAGCGGTGCTAAAGGCCTCGTTGAAGACTCGCTGCTCATCAGCGTCGGGCCCTGCAGAACGGGGACAGAACGGGCGGCCCCGACCCCAGCTTGCCCCTTGGTCGAGTTGGTGCAGCTGCTCTCGATATGATCCGCCCGACAAGCGCCCCGATTCTTGCCCCCCGGCCTGAGGAAAACCTGGTCCCCGCATACCGTCCCTCTCGCGAATGAACGCCATGAAGTCGTTGTAGTGGAACAAGAAGTCCTTGCGAAGTTTATGGCAGTCTGGGGTGTTGTGGGAGGAGTTCGCTCCGTGAACCTGGCAGAAGAAGGCACCTCTCTGCTCATGAGATGGTCCGCCATCCGCTCCCGCAGCAGCTGCTCTCCTCATGCCGCCGTCCCGGCCTGCGCCGGCAGCGACGGGCGCATGCCTCGTGTCCTCGATCCCCTCCCCACACCTCCGTTTGATCCTCTGCTCGTGCTCGACCAGCCTCAGCGTCTCTTCCAGAGTACCTCTCGAAAGCATGGGGTGGAACAGAATACGGTCTTTGACATCGTCGTACATTGGGAGCAAGCCACGTGCAAAGTGTCTCGACATTAACGTCTCCTCTCGATTGTCCCCACAAGACTGTAATTGCATCCACACAGTATTCGCCCTTCCCCAGTAGTCGACCAGAGTCTCTCCATGCTTCTGTCTAAGGCAGTTCCAAGTGCCGTCCAGGATTTCTCTCTCATGCGTCCTGTTTGTAGTGTAGTAGGACTGAAACACTCTCCACCCTGCTTGTGGACTCTCTGAAGCTAGTATCTGGTCTAGTATAGGTTGAACGTTGATTTTCGTGATCAAGCACATCCAGGCTCTCGTGGCCTTTCGAACACTTTCATCGCCATACCTCTGCCGCAACCAAGTCTTATCGACGTGCAACGAACCCACAGGAATCTCTTCTCCTCTCATGATCTCTTCAAGACCCTCTGCATCCATCCACCCTGAGAAACAACTCGTAAAAATTCGGAACGCGACAGTCACACTTCGATCCTTCAAGAAAGCATCATTCCACTCAGGTACTTCGACTCTCTCTCTCAGCTTCAACTCTATGGGCTGGGAACTAGACGTGCCTGAGCGGACGTCATGTCCCGGAGTCTGGGAGGCGAAGTTGGCAACCCGGCGGAGGAGGTCGACAAGGGCGATAGTTGGATCTTGTTCCCCTCCATCCGCGGCTGCTTTCGTTCCTCCCTGCTGGTCCACATCGGGGAGGTTCAACGAACCTCGTCCTTCCCCCCCGTTGTCTTCCCCGTGGGGAGAGGAACTAGTCCCTGGTCCCCGCGGAGGTCTTCGTCCATCTCCTCCAGCCGTCTTATTCGCGCAGACACAGCAGCCACTTTCTTGATCTATTACGCTAGCGTGTTGGGTGGCTTGGTGCGCCCGGCGCAGTTGTAGACGGCAAAAATAAAAGAACCGCGCGGCGAGTTTGCCGGCAACGATAAAATACAGTAAACTGCCCACGGGTGTGGTAACCCGCCGCATCTATGATGTTCCGGAGCGTGATAGCTCTGATGTGTTGACGCTGGTGCTGTGATAGCTGTTGTGATGGCGTGATAGCCTAGAGGCGTGAAAGCCTGGCAGCGTGATAGATGGTGGATAGGTAGTATGGGCACGGGCGTGATAGCCCAGGGCGTGATAGCCGGGAAAAAGGAAGATGAATAAATCAAGGGCACGTGGCCAACACCGTTGCTGACACGCATACCCAGAAAACAATAATATGTGGCAAAGATGGTACCACCATTCCCCCAATTTATTACAACTGCGGAACCCCCAAAATCCCCCGCTCCATCTTCTAGGAACATTCCTCGGTTGCAATAATCTGTCAATGCTGTGAGTACATCCAACAAAAGACATGTAGCGACATGGGCCACCACGCAATACATCCCACATAAAACCTCTCACAACCCCCCCCCCACCACCACCACTTTCTAATGTCGCACACAAGCGCACAGCAGCAGCACACCGCGGCAGACAGCAGGCCTACCTGCTGAAGAGGGTGATGAGCCACGCCGTGGCGTACAGCTCCGGGACGAAGTCGGCCTCGTCCAGCTTTCTCGCCAGGCCGGGGTCGACGTAGAACAGCAGCACGCGGAACACCCTGTAGCTCACCAAGAGGGCCTCTATCTCGTCGTCCACGAACCAGCGGCTAACAAACCGGCTCATGAAGGACTCGAACATCAACCCCAGCACCGGCACGGGCAGCGGCGGGTCCTGGAGGGGCGGGAGGGGGGGGGGGGGGGAGGGGTAGATACAGGTTGGATTTTGTGTTTCTGATGGAACTGACAAGGCGGTAGGTAGGCACTTGGATCGGATTGTTTTTTACCCACATGGAAAACTCCGCCATACATCTCAAGTCGGCGCAGGTACTGTGAGGAACGACCAACTTCCCCACCTACCCAACAGGAAGCGTGTGCCATACGGTGCGTGTACCTGAAGCATGACGAAGGGAGCGATCAGCTCGTTCTGGCCCTGCTTGTAGCGGATGCCGTGCCCCACGCAGTACCTCTCGAGGACCTGCGAGACCAGCTGCATCACCTCCTCCCGCTTGAACATGGCGTACGCCTGCCTGGTCCGCTTAATGTCGGCCGCCAGAACCCGTCGGTCTTCCTGCCACCCGTCATTACAGACATCGCAAGGGAGACACGATGAGAACGGAAACAAATGCGTTGACGAACTTGATTGTTTCATTTTTCTTGGCTCATACCTACAGCAAGTCTTTCTTGCACAGATAAAATAAGAGTCTGGGAGGGAATTCATGGTGCTAGCATTTTGTAGTTATTGCACGACAAAGAAGAAGATTCCAAGAGCCCCGATCGTGAAAAGAAATGGTTGTAGGTAGGGAGCAAGGGCTTTCGACACAACCATGCGTGCAAGTCGCCATGAACAAAAAAAAACGAAAGTGCTGACTGCTGCTGTGTACCCGTTCCTAGGGTGACGTTCACAGACCAGAGAAAGAAAGCACGGGGGGACAAGATTACAGATTACCCGCCGCTCGAGGAATCGTTTCTTGTCGTCTTGCTTGGTTGGTTGATCTTGATGCGCGCGCCGATGCGGCGACGTACTCGCAACTGCTGCAGCAAGCAAGCCGGCAATTCGCGACGCTTGTGTTTTCATCTGTTTCGACAACGAAGGAACTGCTGAACCTTGGTTCCCCCTTGTTCCGCCTCGCGCTCCAGGGAGGAGTGAAGCCAGCGTGCAATTACTTTCAGCACAACCTTCGACTATGGAGGTATTATCTGGAACAGTTAGTCTCTCGGTATCTTGATGCATATTTTCTGAAAAACGCAGCCGCAGCGCTTTGATGCTGGCTACTCGGAAGCGCGTGAAAAAAAGTAGGTAGGTTCATCTGGGGCTTGGCATCGCGTGGCTCGTGGCTCGTGGCTCGTGTTGTTGGCGAATCGTCGAGAGCTGCCGACCACAGCGCGCAAAAGAAAAAAAAACGAAACACACCCACGTGGACCCAATAAACAAACGAAGAAATATGGGTGCCAGCATACAGCACGGCCGATGCTATTCCAACTCCTTCCCCACAACCAACCCTACAGGCAAGCACCGCAGGAGAAAAAAACGGGGCCAAAAACCAAACCAGCACAAACGAAAAAAAAAGAAGTCATGTTGACCTTCCTTCCTCCTGTGTGACCCCGGCGGATACGTTCAAGAGAAAGGTGTTCGTAGACTGGAGCCAGAATAGACGTGGCGACCACACACCCACGCGCATCACCATCGGTAGACACACAAAAAACAGCACATGTTCGAGTACCTACGTACGTGTAGTTGGCTTCTTTTTTCGTTGTTGGGGCGCATGCAAACTTACCTTGGGGAAGTGGATAAGGCCAGCGGCATGGTCTTCCTCGGAAGATCTTCCATGAAGCGAAGTGCTAACAAGCTCGTGCTGACTGTGCCGCGCCGCGCCGTGTCGTTGCCGTTACCGTCACCCCGTACCGTAACGGTAGTCGAGCGCACGAACGCGAAAGTGTCGACACATGACAACATGAGAAGCAGGGAGAGAGAGAGGGAGAGAGAGAAATGTACTGACAGAGTGAGGGTGCGACGGGGAAAGAGAGGCATTTCGATGCAGTTTTGGGTAGTTGTGTCTTAGCGAATAAATAAACCGTTCTGGTCTCTCGCCCGAACGGTAATTCCCCTCCCCTACGCTCGTTGTCGCCCCACCCTCGGTGTTTGCCATCGGGATTGGGTTTTCGTCGCTTGGCAACGACGTTGAAAAACAAGCCAATTCACTTCGTGAACTCGGCAACCAGGTTACCGTTTTTTTTTTGTACCTCTTTTTTGTGCGGTAACCATAATGGTGGTCGAGTAGATCATGTTGTGCGGGGTCGAGAACCCTCACTCCGCGCGCAAGGGGGATGATCGCACCACGTTGTGTTAAAATGGTCAAGCACGCTCGAGGCAGTTACACAGTGCTTATAACTGTCTCTGGAAGTGAAAGCACCAGAAAAAATAAATTAAGTCATACGCAGCTGTCATCCGTACGCAAGGAAGTAAGCACAAGATGCCGAATACCCTTAGCAGGATGCCGAACACCCTTCATGCGACTCGCCGAATACCTCACGGCGCTTCGCGCTTGGTGATGTGAGAGCCTGGTCCGGTGAGAACCCGGCGTGCTCCGTCCCGGCTTTGTAGGGATGCGAGGTCAATAGTCGAACGACTATTGTCATGCACGACTATGAGTACACCCCCCCCTACGCTCGTCGTCGTGGTCGGAAACTAACGAACCGCCAAACACCCGAAGCACCACTAAACAGAGCAGTTCATGCACAAAATATTTGTTGAGTTAGATTTCGTGCCCGCCCCCCTTAACATCGCGTCGCCATTGGCCTAGCCTGCCGTGCTTGCTGAAGGATCGTCACGTGAGGGAGCGCACACCCTGCACAAAGGGGATGTCCAAACCACAGCAGGGAGGGTGCCTGCCGACCCTTCTCTTGCATGCTGGTCGGCGTAGGATTCGCACATACGAAGCTCTGCAGTGTGCACAGCCGGAGCGGCACCGCAGCGAGCAGGGGAATAACGTCATTCAACAGCAAGCTCTTGTTCTCTCTGCAGCATGACGTTTGACACCAGCTTCGTCGCGTAGCGGTATGTGCTGCGCGGTGCTTCTGCAAGCCACTCCAAGAGTCGAAGATAAAATATTGTTTGCACCAACACATCATTGCTGGCGATGCACTGGTAAATCACAGGAGATGGCTGGCCGCCACCTTGTACTGCTGTAGATGTTGATTACTCGTGTGTCTAGTGCAGACTCTCTCTGTGCGATGTTCATTCTAACCTCTCTCTCTCTCTCTCTCTCTCTCTCTCTCTCTCTCTCTCTCTCTCTTCCAACCTCTTTTTTTCTGTTTGCACGGTGTTCACCCTCACAGAAGTTCTCTCATCACAAAAATTAGTGAGCGCGAAACAGGGTCGAAGTCCCATGCCGGCGGCGATTTTTGATACGTACAGCTCTCGTTCGTGTGGAAACAGGCCGTTCCACGCATAAAACAACCCTCAAAATAAAGCCGCCACGCTGGTGCTCACCACCTTTTTGATGGAATATGGGTGGCTGGCTCATGATAGGTGGGAATCGGCAGTTGCACTACTACAGCAAACGGGAGGTGCAGCAGCCTCAGTCATGTACATGTACCCTTGCCGCATGTCGGCGGCAGCGTGATAAAGCAGCAGTATCTTTATGCAGTTCTGGTTCGTAAAGGTCGTTGAACACGACTTCGAAATACTTCGTACAAGAGACACAGCGGTGGGTCTCGGAGAGAGACATCAGCATCCCCTTGAATCCTTGCTGCCACTCAGACAAGCTTCGACCAGGTTACAAATTGCAGGAAGCTGAGGTGAAGGTTAGAGAGGCAGATTCTACGACCTGCGCTCGGCACGCCGCAGGCACGGCAGCAAGCTTTGTACGCGTTACGTGGTGTTGGAGCGCTCTCTCTGTCCTCGGTTCCAGCCTCTCGAGATGGGAAGATCCGGTCTATTGAGTACACTTGTACTTTTCGTCACGTGCCAAGATGACGCCTCGGGGATGGAGAAGGCCGACGTGCCGACCTCCAGAAAATATATATGCATATTTGTGGGCGAACTAGCGGGGGGTCGCACGAGAGGAAAGCTGCACACACGGCTGGTACATAGCTCGATCTTGTCCACTATTTAGTGTGTAAGAGATCAACAATGTGCATGTAGAGCAACTCTCCGCGTCTCGTCGAACCGAGGTGCTGTTGAGCCATCTACAGCAGTACCAGAGCCGGTCGAAACGAAAGCGTACAGCAGTAGTAGGACACGTACCAGCAGGTTTCTCTTGTTTTTACAGGAGTTCGATACACAACCAACGCTTGTTGCCCACAAAGAGGAGCTACACACAGCAGTGTTGTGCGCGGTATATGTAGGCAGGTAAATTTAGCAGAAAAGCGTAACTTCTGACCAGCTCAATACTACTACTGGCTGCGGTACGCATGCGCCCCACTGGATTTTTGTTCTTGATTTAAAAAAACGGAAGAAAAAGGAAGTGTCATGTACTACTGCTGTAGTATACACACAGCATTGACTCAAGTAGGCGATCTGAAGGAGTAGAAGACGCCCCTCGTGTTGGTTTCTATCCCATCTAATTCGACCCAGGCCCGAGCTGCACGGTGGGCCGGCAGCTGTCCGGACAAACACACCGAGTCGTGACAAAGGCTCTCATGTGGTCCTGATTGGATGATCATCTACTTGGCTCTGGACCTCTCCAAAAAACATTCAGCAGTCCTCTCAACGGACACGATAATAAAGGTACTTCCATACTAAACTTGCCAATATTACAAAGCAGCAGATACACGAACCTAGTTCGACCCAGGCCCCGAGTTGCACGTGAGCCGGGAGCGGTCGGGATGGACAGAACGTGTCGCGGGAACCCACAAAAAAAAAAAGTGGTGTGTGAATCTTTTCTTCGGTCTCCGCCGATTGGGGCGCTACATCTGGCGCTACCACTCTTGACTCTTGAGTACTGCTGTACGTCCACTCCCAACGGAACTCGGAGCATCAAATACGAGTCTCCTGCATGCATGATACACAATACGCCCAGAAGTGCCCCGTTCCTCATGTGTGGAAATGAATCACGCCAAGACGACTAGCGGCTCACCTGTTGAGATCCTCCGTCCTCAAGCCCAAAAGCATCGCGCTCCAGAGGTCTGCCCGTATAGGCTCGACGGCATCATGTTCGCCGCATGCGGACTTCGGCGGCCGGGTAACGACGAGGCGTCTGATTTCGTCCAGGTCTTGGTCCTCGCAGCCCACCAGCGTCCTCAAGCGCTCCACCACCCTGGCATACTCCTCCTCCTCGTGCTTCTCCCCGTCTCCATCTCCGGCTGAGTCGAGAGGTCCCTTGCCTACGTCCACCTCGACCTGCTCGTGGGAGGCCATAGTTCCCGATGCTGCTGTCAACAGCAGCAAAAAAAAGGTTGCTCCGCTGTCTCACGCCGGGGGCTTCTCCGCTCAGGAAGACTGCTGTATCCTCTCCAGTCAAAAGGAAGGGCCGGACTGCTGTGAACAAGGTCCGAGTCCCCAAACGTAGTCAACCAGTGGACTGGAGGCCGAGGCTGGAGATAGGTTGGGAGGTGCAGTTACGAGGTTATACCAAAATCACACCGGCCCCAAATGGAACCCGACAGACGGGAAGACTTGAATGAACCTCCCCACCCACCCCAGTATCCTCTGAGGTACAGGGTCGTCGGTCGCTCAGCAGTGTCCGCAGGCGTGGCTGGTGGGGTCGGACTGCAGACAAAATTCAGCTCCACAGAGCACGCACATCGCTATACACCACCACCCGTGTCATAGAGGCTAAGTCCTAATAGCCGGGTTAGGCCATGAAATACAGCATCGTTGCTTGGTTTGTCTGGCTCTATACCGCTGCGGATGCTTTGATTTCCACCGCACCGATCGGCAGCAGCGCGGGCGCCTCACGCCGAGGGAGAATACATCGGCATTTATCGGCAGTAACGCTGCTGACGTTGCCGAGGCGCAGCGCTGCCAGGCAAGAAATGGGCACCCGGAGACTCTGCGCTGCCGACAGCATCCACAAGAGCTACTCGATGATGTGCGGCGTTGCTGACTACGACCAGCAAGAGCTGGTGCTGAGAGAGTTTGCCCTGCCTCTGCAAGCTAGCCCAGGGTCATACGAGAGACGGGTTAGGGCGGAGTGTTTGCGGGAGGGGGGTGAGGCGGCTACGGTCGTTCGGTGGCACATTAGCCACGCGGACGAAGCGACAGGCCGTGCTCATGTAGAGGTGAGGGGGGTGAGCGATGAATGTGCGCTTGTTTGTTTGACTGCAATCAACTTGGCGGAGGCCGAGTTTGATGGATCATCATCAAACATGAGCATGTGCCGCTCTGCTGCTGTGACTGCCGTGTTTACTGTACGTAACTGCTGTACGCTGCTGTACAAGTGCATAGGCAATCACCAACCAGCTTTGTTGCATCACTTCTACACCGGGTACCAAGTGGTCTGTACGCAGACGGCTACAAAGCAATGCAGTATGTGCAGTTGGCAGCCCTGAGCGACAAGTTGCATCCTTTGCCTGAAACGAGGCATGGGATACCATCTACTCTGTACGACGCCAAACGCCACCTGCAAGAGTGTCCAACGGCTACTTGCGTCTACGTAGTCCCCTGCTTGTCCGTGGCACCGTCCGCAGCCCGCGGCCGCGATGGCAACGTTGCTCAAAATAGAGAATTTGGCATCCTTGCCAGTGATAGGGTTTCGCGTGGCACTCCAAAAACCCTGCAAATCAGTTTGCCGACAGCAGCATTCTGCAACACAGGTGTATGTATGTACCGGTCTGTACCTGACAATTACATCCTTTCCATTTCAGTCGCGTGAACAACTCTTACCAAAGTTTTTGTCAGTGGCCCAAAGTGGCCCGCATTTTGAAGGTGGTGACTTGTCGAATCCTCCTGGTGGTTAGGTCTAGAGTTAGGTTCCGAAAGAAAGAGCACTGCGGTAGGAACGTTCGGTGGCGGATACGCTAAGTCACTGGAGGGCAGGACCTGCCCAAGTCCTGGAGTAATTTTTGTGCGACCCCGCATCAAAGCTCGTCATGTTCACAGGCATCGCAAGTACAACATAGCTAGAGGCTGCGATCAACGGGCACAAAGCAGCTAATGCTTTCTTGCCTATGATTTTACTTCCGTTGTTGCGCAGTAGCTCCGATTTACTCCCCTCGGTCTGCATGGGGGTAGCGCTGGATTGTGGGTGCCCTCCGACTGTAACTCACCCTTTTGATCGTCAAGTTTTTCCTTTTTCGTCAGCAGGACCAAAACCAACGCGTCGTTCCTGCTTGGGTGGGTCCTTCGACTCTCTGATGGGTGCGTCATCTGTCGTCTATCCAACTCTCGTGTTCGCTCTCCAGACGTGCGTCTCTCTCTCTGGGGGTGATCTCCTTGCCGCTTTCGGAACCTCCCGCTCTCCCTCCTGTCTTCTCATTTTCTTCCCGTTTCAATCACGAACTCTCATGCTGCCGCCGTCCCCCCGCGTTGACGCCAACTTTGTTTTGGGAAGGCTGTATTCCTCCTTGCCACAAGTGTATCGGGAGCCGAGACCGCGATCGACGAAGCGCCATGACCCCGATAAGCTTGATGCCCAGCCTTGAAGCTTTCGGAGAAATTGATCACCGCTGGGGTGCGTACAGACCGCGTTGGTTCGACCTTTGCTGTGGCAACCTGACAGCGACGGGAGCGCTGCTGTACGGCGCTGGCGCTGGCGCTAGCGTTTAAACTTGGGGCTACAACAGCAGTATTTGCATTCTCCGGAAGTTTGGAACCTGGCATTGTAGCGAGTTCGTCTTTGCTGCGAAAAAGAGGGGTGCCGCGCGCCACGGCGAACGGATAGTACTACAGCATGTGCCGTACTAGAACAGATTATCCCCCTGGATTGGACCCCGAGGACCCATTGCGGGCGGGAATGTACAAGTTTGGTGGATCACTAAACCTGACGCCACATCATTGTGTTTTGAAATACTCCAGGAAATACTCCAGGAAATACTCCAGGAAATACTCCAGGAAATACTCCAACTTCTTAAAGCTTGGTTTGCAAGTATGGGAACGGGTACCCGACAAAGGAGGGGGAAGTTTTGTTCTGCACGAGAGAATCCCGCCGAGGAAAGACAGACCCTAGCAGTGCAGGGGAAGGGGAGTAACGAAGAGATGAACGATTGCAGGCGCACCATTTGTCTAAATATCGTTTGTTTTGGTTTGCTTTACGTGCAATTGCTGACATCGAGCGCCGTGTCGGTGCTGCCAAAAGGAAGACGTAGCAGTTTTGATTCGATTTCCGTTGGGGGATGCCGGGTGTCATCGCGTCTCGCTTCGTGCTTCGCAAAGACATTCCCAAAAGAGGGGTGTGTGGTGAATGACGTGCGTGCGAGTTTTTGGGTGATGAGACAGATATGCCTCGCGTCACTGGTACATCGTGTAGCATACATGCTTCAACTAGTCTCGTGCTGGTCGTGTCCTGTTGCGCCGCCACAACGCTCTCTCCGAGAAACGTTGGGCCTCGCACAATGATATGGCCCTTGTACCTTGAAATGCGTTTCTTCCTTTTCTCGGCCCCCTCTGTTGAGGCACCATTAGGGTGTGCTGTACGGTTTTTGCAAGCTGTCGAGACTGCAATCCAAACGCGTACCGTTGGTAATTGTTGTGCGATGCAGGAGGTCGACTCGACATGTGCTCACGGTTGACTTCGTGTTGCAAGCGCTTGTAGCTTTGCTGACAAGCTTTGCCTACAAGTAAACGAGAATTTTGCTCGTGTCTATTTTGAAAAGCAGGGTGTTGAGTTTTGTCAAAAGTTCGGTATGTTTTCCCCGAAATTCCGAGATTTTCTCCACACAGAAAGGATGCACCTGCCTGGTGAGGGAACGCCGAGTGTACCACGCAGCCACTGATGTTGTGTGATATGATCGTCATACATACATGCGTGTACAAAATGTTGTTGGGATGATTGCGTATCACCCACATTGCCATGTGTGAATCGATCACGTCCAACTCTGTAGTTGTGAAGGGCTCATGTTGTTTGAAAAAAACTCTCGAGGATCGTTGCCGCCCCCCTCCTAATTAGTTTCTCTAACTCGGACGTCCTGACCTCGGTATAGAGGTTCGTACTCGGCAATGCTTGCGACCCCACGCGTACGTGAGATCTACAGCTATAAATGAGGCAACATCCCCGGAAAAGTCGTAGCGTAGCGACAGCAGTCAACGCAGTACGAGCACACAGAGAGAGAGAGAGAGAGAGAGAGAGCGGCGCAAGACAGACCTGGACCTGCAAACAAACCCCCGCCACCAAAACCACATATATTCAGACATGTATGCATCGTTGCATAGAAGTATCACACGTAAGAAGTGGGCAACAAGGCTTCCGCAACCTTCATGGGCCGAGCTAATGCTCTCTCTTTCCCCGAAGGCGTGTGGTCGTGCCCTCTGTTTATTGTCTCAGTCAGTGTGTAAGAGTTCTGGAGGCATCCGCATTGACTGTTCGGTCTATCGGTCATCAAGAATGCGGCGAAACCTCAGCAAAAAAGTCCAGCGATGTGTCAGATATGTCATCGATTGTTGTTGTTTGCTGCAGCTGGCTGCAGCTAGATCTACTTGCTTCGTCGACAGCTGGTGTAGGTGTTGCGCAGCTGTTGCTGCACCCACGACCCGGAAAGCACTTGGGGCGCAAATTGCTGACAAGCAACGGGGGGGGGGGGGTCTTTACTGTTCACTTCAGGAAGGTCTAAAGAGCTGCTGTATCTCCTTGTCCGTTCGGCCGTGACAGACAAGAAGGAGCAGCGGCGCCGCAAGCATGGGTTTGCGGTGGTCGATTCTGCTGGTGAGCGGATTGGTGGTGAGGCATGCATGTGAGGGGGCAACAGTCAAGATAGGTGAGGTACGGAGAAAGGCAGAGACAGAAGAAACACACACAAAGAGAGGGAGAGACGGACAGAGAGATTGAAAGCGAGACTGCAACACGAGCCTGTCTTCAGCAGCAGTAGAAGGCTCGGGCCGGCAGTCATCCTTCCAAACAAGAAACAGCAAACATGTAGTGGGCTCAGAACTCCTGCTCCCTGTTCCATGTCGTTGCTTGTGTCCTCGACAACTGCGGTAGCCTCCATAGATAGACGTGTAAATAATATTTTCATATTTTCATGTTTTCGACTTTCATGTGAGTGCAGGTGTGGTATCTACTGTAATACTAGGATGATGAGCGCGCACAGGACCCACAGACGGTATTTTTTTGATACAGACAGCGCCCGCACTCGAGAACTTCATGCTCAACTTGCATCGAACATAAGAACTTAAGCACCATATGTGCGGGCGCTATCTGTACGCCGCTTTCACGCCTACGTTACTCGCCCGTACACATGGTCCAAGTTTAGCGGTTTATTTGTAGTGACACGAGGTTTTCCTCCATCCAATCAGGGCATCGCCGCCAATCCCGTCACATTTGATTGGAGAACTGATCGGGGTGAGCATGCCGGCACAGACAGGCGGTGATTAGGGAGTCAGCACAGCAAACTCAGAGCGGGAGAAGAACATGTTTCTGCGGGATAACTGTTCATCTGTTCGGGCCAACTATGTGGCGTTTCGGGTCAATTTCGCGCCGTTTACGAGAATAGCCGCCATTGCCCCCCGACTGTTGGTGAATCAGTTTTCGGTTTTCGATGCCTTCGGCACTCTGTAATTTATGCCAAAAATTGTTTCGCATGTCAACTCTAAAAAAATCTTGCTGGAAAAAGTAGGGGTAACTATAACTAAGCGAGCCCTACCGGCCGGTATTAGACTGTACGGCAGTCCAGTTCCGGCGGGAGTGAGGCATACCCCGTGAACGCCTTATTTCATGGACCGGTTCGAAGGGGAGGGGGAGGGCGGGCACAATATTTTTTTCCGATATCCCGTCCCATGCCATAACAGCACATGGCGTCGGTTCACACCATCAGGGTTTCTTGTGGACTGGGGGCTGGGATCTCCGCTGTACCCGGCGGTGGCGCAAGCGGCCGTACAGGCGGCAGCCAGAGGTTTCGGGGGCTCGGGCGGCGTTTTCGCAAGGGGGGACAGGGTGGAGTGGGTGTGGCACGACTCCGCGTGCGACGCCCAGAAGGTGAGCGGCCTCTGAACGCGCCCTTTTTCAAGCAAAAAGCACCTTAGCCTATTATAGTGTCGGGGGAAGCCATCTCTCCCCGTGGACCACCGACCGGCCGTATCACACCCCGAGCACCTTGTGCACTACCACTGACCCGTTTAATGTTAACTTGGAAGGGGGCCGGAGAGGGAGAGAAGATTAATAGGATTCGGCCCCCCTCCTCGTGGGCCCTGTAGTCCCCTTTTCGTCGGGCCTACTATTATAGGTGGCCGAAGCTATCTTACGGAAAGTGTGTGCGGCTGTTTTTGCCATGGATGTCGTTCGAAAGTTTGGAAGAAAAAAATGGTGCCGACCAAGATTGCCATTCGAAAAAGGATGATAAATCAATGTTTTCGGGGAACCTCGCCGTACCTACCCACCTACCCAGGCGTACGATGCGACGGAAGTGCTGTTGGACACGTACGGCGTGGACCTGATAGTCGGCCCGGCCTGCTGCTCCTCGGCGGCGGCAGCGAGCGCGTTGGCGGCCAGGAGGGGGGTGCCGGTAGTGTCGTGGGCGTGTTCTGCGGCCCATTTGTCGGACAAGGTAAAAGGATGCGGACACCAGACGCACACATACATGCACGTTGAGCCCCATGAGGTGTTGAGAGGGATTTTCTGTTGGATTGACGCTGTGTGCGGAATGGTTCGGGTGGAAATGCTTGCCCCCCGGTGCGCTCAACAGACGAGGTTTTGCGTATCAAAAACACCGTAGATGGTTGACGTAACACATCGTCGACTGCGGCGGAACTACCATATGGCCATCGGCACCACGAAACCGCCGCTATCCATAATCACCGCCGCCGCCGCCGCCGCTACCACCAGTCTTTTACAGTTTTGAGGATTACCCCGGTAGAAGCGCCGGCCAGAGTCGTCCTCTAGAGCAGCTGCAACGCTGTAACGGCATCATCGCTGACATCAATAACCCCAAGAAGGCAAAGTCAAGTTTTACCCGTGGCCGACGCGCCTCCGCCGTATGCCTTGTAACCCGACATGACCCTTTCTTGATTGGGCAACGTTCGTGAAAACGCCACACCGATGCAGTTGCTGCACCCGACATTTCTGCGCGTGGTGGGTGCGAGCGACGAATTCTCCTTGGCGGTGGGCTCGCTCTACAAGCGGCAAGGCTCGGGGGAAGCGGTGGTAACAAGCATCCTATTTGCCGAAGGGCCGTTAAGGGGGCTCGCCTATACATCTCTGGCGCAGCAGGTGCGGAAAACCTGCGTCCGAATCGCCCCCCCTCCTCCTCCCCACGCGCGGGCTTCAACTGCCAACAGACCCCCGGTTCACGCCCATATGCACATGTTCCACATGGATCTTTGTCGCAGCGACTTTGAACGTCGATTGCACTGGCCGCGGATGGCTGACGGTCCTCGGGCATGCGCGGTGTTGTACCGACGAGCCCCCTGCGTCTCCCTGAGAAGCGAGTATGAAAAAATGTCTTGCTGCCGCGAGGGAACGATGTGCCGAAGCACGAAAAACATGAGAATGATACGTACACAAATGCAAACACCCCCCGCTTCTGTTTTCAATCCATTGCTTTTTCACTTTGTTTCGTGTCGGAGTGCAACGACACGGCACAGCTCTGTCCACCAAGAACAAACCAATCTTCCGTGCCGTTTCGTCGCCACAAAGATGAGGCGGGTGCTGGAGGGGCAAGGGGGCTCCGTGGGCGTGTACGCCGGGTTCGACGGCGGCGAATCTTGCAAGGCGGGCGCGGGGGATGCCAAGGGGGTTCGCAAAGCGGTGGAGGCGGTGCGAGCGGGGAGAGACAGCGTGGTGATCGTTCTGGGCGAGTGCGCCGACTACCGCCAGGTGAACCAAACAGGGGCGTGGGAGGGGGGGTTGGGGGACGGGGATTGGCCCTGCTGAGAACTTGGCTCAAGCAGCGACCACACCACACTGTTTGTACACGATTGTGTTTGGTTCACGAAAAAAAGAAAAAAAGAAAATAGAGCTCTTGGGGGACCTTCTGCCTGTGTGACCCCGACTGATGCATCAGAAATACACGCCGAGAGGTGTGTAGACTGGCGCCAGAATAGATGGGACGAACTGGCACGCGCTTTCATCACGTATGGTTACTCCATCCACACCTCCGCGCGCGTTTCTGTTTGCCCCGCCACCATCGTCGACAGACTCGGTCAAGGAGCCCGCCGTATAGTGCGGGTTGAAACCCCCGAACTCCTTCCGTAGCCTTAGGGGGGTAACTAACTAAGTGCGGCTTGCCGACCCCGCGTGGCTCCTTCCGCAGCCGCAAAGGGGTGGTTCCACACTAACTTGGAATACAACGTCCCTCTGATGCCATTGCCCATACCGCCAACACCACCACCAACAACATCCACGAAAAGGTTATGACGTTCGCGGCGATGCGGGGCCTCAAGTCGGAGCGAGCGTGGCTTCTCCTGTCCGCAGCGCGTGATCCGACATGCCATGCCAGCGCGGCCGCTTGCGGGAGGTGCGTAGTTCGGTAGCTCACACCAGCAGGGTAGACACGGCCCTCAGCGTGCGCATGCTCTCGCGTTCACGCGCTGCATTCAGTAGGTTGGATAAGTTACCACGCCCCCTGGACCAACTTTGAAAGCTCGATTGCTCCACGATGGTGAGAAGGCGACAATCAAATGATAAAATGTTTTAGGAAAGATCTCGACAAGATAGACAGAGTTACAACGCAGGCATTTTGTCGCAGTCACCGCTTCTTTCGCTGTGAAGTGTCTTCTATATCCTGGTCAACTGCAGTTGATGAACTTGTCGCCTTTGACCCCTTGATGCTCTTTCGCCTCGGTTGGTGTGATTGCCTTTCGTAACGGAGGCTCCGACTAAATAGAACCGTCTTTTTTACGTAGCTCTTCACGGTAACGGGTACTTCGTTTCCGAAGAAGAGGCTAGAACTGGGAGCGCGAAGACGTCGGTCGCCTTGTCTTAATCTCCCTCGGCGGCAAAAATCGTCCTCTCGTTGGCGCTGCTTTTTCGCCATTTCTTGTACCATCTCCACCCTCGTGATACCACAACCTCTCTGTCCTTGCCGCTCTGTTGTCCGGCATCCTCCTCACCACCCGGTGTGTTCTACACGACGAAACACCCCCGCGGGCAGAGACGACGGACGAGACGCTCTGGCCCTCTCCTCGATGTCCGGCGCCCTGTCGATAGACTGGGCGCTGATGCCGACCTCCCGCACGAGCGTGGAAGCGTGCATGGACCCCGCCGTCGCTCTCGGACGCGAGGGCCTTGCGTCGGATTTTTTCCCGCCGCCGGCGGGAGATGCGTCTCCGGTGGTCCCTTTCTCTGGTCCCTCGGGCCCGCGGGGGACACCGCCTTCACGTGCTGCTTGCGGGGCCGGCGGCAGCCCCGATGGCGGGGCTTGTTCTGCTCCGTGGTCACCCTGCTGTGATACCTCTGGCCACCGCTCTGACGGACGTGGTGGCGGAGCAGCGGTAGGAGCGGTCGAAGAGGGCGGCGACGGCGACGGCGACGGCGACGAGACGAATCGCTGGGGCGGGGGAGGCGGCAGGGTTTGCCCGGGAGCAGCCGGAGACTACCGTGCTAGTCCTGACGATGGCGTCCCTCGGGGGCTCCTCACGGCGACCGCGCTGATGTTTGACGCCGTCGAGCTGGGCATGCGCGTCCTCGCCGCGGCGGGCAGAAGAGTTGGGAGGGTCGGAGACGGCGGATGGGCGGGGCTGGCAGCCGGCGTTGGGTTCGAGGGTCTATCTGGCAAGGTGCGTTTTTTTTTTCCGAGGGGTACACCTGTCGTGTGACGTGCGGCGCGTCGCGCCCCGCAGGGGTGGCTGATTGCGGGTTGCCGCGACGCGAAAGTTTCGCAACGTCTAGACTGTGCATAGTGGAGGCTGCAGTACCCCGCTTGTGCAACTCTCTCTGGGCGTAGGATGGCGGCTCGGCTGGACAACTTCGTTCCACGCACGGACACCCCCCCCCCCCGTCGTCAGGATTCGAGAGTCATTCTCAGCTTTTTGTTTGTGTTCGGTGCAGGGCAATCTTGTATGCTGCCAGGTTCCGTTGTTTCGGAACGCAGCTCAGGTCGTCACAAGCCCTTTGTGAAGGGAAAAATCACACCACTCGAAACACCGCCCTCTCCCGGTCCTAGAAAGCCATGGTGTAGGAGAGAAGAAATCACCGGAGAAGAAAATATACCTCGAGCGACACCCACCTACCGGATCATCCGTGCGCAGAATTACTAAGGAGCTGCGTGCATGCTGGTGAAGTTTTCCCGCGAATGGTGTGTTTCATTTTTCGACGGACCTCCGTGTCTCTTTCGTCTTATTCCCATGCCTTACCGCAACTTGTCGAGCTCTCCGTTGCGTGTACATCGCGGAAGCAGCACATCACGAGACCCGAAGTGTTGATATCGTGTCGATTGTAGCCGGGAGCGTGATTAGTGTTCGCAGCGCACCCGCCCTTTTAGCCACCAGCCCGGGGTTGCTGATGGCCACTCCACACGTGCGCTGCATGCACCTCTCCTTTCGCCACGACAGCACGTAGCGGCATCCCGTTGTCGGCTCCCTTACTCTTTTCGACGCCCATCCTTTGCTTCCACTGCTGGTCACTTGGCGTGAAACAGGTCGAGATGGACGATCTCGGTAACCGCATGGGGATGGACGTTTCGTTCCGGCTGATGGAGGGTGTCACCGCGGACGGCGCTTCTTACGTTTCGGGGAAGGAGGCGGCGAGGTACGACTCCGCTTCTGAGACAGTACAGGTGAGGGATCTCCGGGCCTGGTTGTGGACGGGATGGGGGTGCGCCGTTGGAGAGTTTTTTTGTTGTTGAACAGCTTGGGCGTCTCAAGGGTCGTCCATGGAAGAGTGGGATTGGTTCGAGTGGTCAAGGAAAAGCGTGTTGCTTGGCCGAACGGGTCGACTGAGTGAACGCTGCTGGTTGGTAGTTGCTGCCAGGCTGGAAGGTTAATTGTTAGGTATGAGAATCAGCAACGGTGATTTTTTATTCGGCCAGGCTACATGGCGGAAAATGGGTTTTGGTCCTCGTTGATTGCTCGGGTGCACTTGTGTTGGCAGTACAGCGACGGAAAAAAATCCCGATAACCTTTGTGAATCATGCGCCCTCCCCCCCTCCTCTATTTCTCCTAACATGTCACACGATGTTCGCGTGCATCTACCATTGTATCTTGTGTTCACCACGCTGGCGGGGTGGCGACCTCCTGCGTCTTGCGATTACTTGAACAACTCAAAATCCTTGGCGGCTGACAACCGCCAAAAATCCGTGCTACTTAACGACGGCTGCACGGACAACGATGATGTTTGCCCATGACATCAACACCAACGACATCAATGCTGCCATAAACAACAACAACAACGAACGGCGGATCACGGCACATCAGCTTCTACGACACATGCAATGGCCCGCCTCGCTGTCGGGAGTGACTGCTTGTCCCGGGGCATTGCCCGACGGCGGCGGGCTAAGACCACCGTCGCGTGCACAGTCCACGCTGGACAAGGATGATCATTATCCTTGTGACAGCACCGTCAGCAGCTGTGGCGGCGCCGGCTGTGTGAGCGTCGGCATCGGTTGTGGAAACAACCGGAACGATGGCGCAAACGGTCTTCTAGCTGCGCTCGACTGCTTATCCAAGTCTCCATTCACGTGCCTGCTGCTGACGCTGGCGCTAGCAGCCTTGCTCGCCGTGGCGCTCACGTTGGCGGCAGCAGCGGCCCGCGATAAAATCACCACAAGAGTGCGGCGCCCCGGGTTACCCCCCCCCTCCTCGCCCCCCTCCGTGGTAGAACCTCCCGTTTCGCGGCAGAAGCAGACGGCGGTTATCGGCGATTCTCCAGTGACGGCGCTTGCGACCGCGGGTACGGTGGCGGCGGGGGTGATCGCTGACACGAGCAGGCTGACGCCAACCGGGTTAAGCACCGGGGAAACGAGAAGCGTGGAAGGAGAGGACAACCGGATGTCGCCGCCGCCGCCGCCGCCGCCGCCGCCGCCGCGTAGTGAGAGCTCAACCCGAAGAGTAGCTGGCTCTGGTACTCCGGGCAGTGCGGCTTCGGCGGGGAGTTTTCATCCGAATTTCGCAGGCGATCCTATCAGGACGGCGGAGGTGGGAGGCGCAGTGCCGGAGGGGTCGGTGGCGGCACTGACGGCAGTGGCAATAGCAGCAGCCGCCACTGCTGCCGCCGCGGAGGCCGCGGCGAAAAATCCAGAGCGGTGGTTGGGCAGCGGTGGCTGTAGTGGGGACAGCAACATTGGTAGCGGCATCGCGGCTAGAACTAGGGCGGTTGGGTCCCGTGCATGGTCGGAGTCCTCTTCTCCTGCTCCGGCCCAGGCACCAAGCTCGGAGAGCGAAACGCCAACTATGGCAGATGGAGGAGGGAGAGCTGCACTGGAAGGCCAAAGGACAGGAACATCGAGGCCAGACGAGGCGGGGGGAGGGGGGGATCGCGGGGGTTGGGATGTTCCTCATCATTGGGTGGGCGGGGCCGCGATTTCTCCCGCCGCGGTGCGGAAGACCGCGTCGCTCGCCTTGCAGAGCGCACCGCAGCTTCAGATGGTGCAGGAAGAGCTCGAGAAGATCAGCTTTCGTGCGAGGGAGGCTCTAGAGGAGGTTAGTTTCGGACAAGATGCGGGGTTTGGAGCTTAGAATCTTGTGTGCACGCAGGTTTCGTGCTTGACGATCTTGTTGTGAAAGTACGTCCTCGTCGTGAAAGCACGTCCTCGCCCTGCGTGTGTGTTACCGCGCTCGTTTGTTCTGGTTGCGGAGAGGGAAAAACAAACAATTGTGGATCAATGTCAGGCCTCCATTCAAATCGAAATCGGACCATACCGTTTGAGTTTGTGTTTTGGCTCACACTCAACAAGGCTGTTCCCTTCTATAGTTGGATCAAAATCGAGGCAGATCGGGGATGAATCAATCCGAAGCGGGCCATGAAATGACCACACCAAGAATTCGAGACATGAACAACGAAAAATGTGATTTTCTTGGTCTCGTATGAAAGTGTCACTCAGCCAATTTGCGCGCGCGGTCTGCCACTGCACCTACAAACAGGTGGAGGTGGATGCCAGCCTCGTGGGCGTGGGAGAGATAATCGGCTCCGGGACTTTTGCGCAAGTCCGACAAGGGCGCCTCTTCGACACGATGGGAGTTGTCGGAACAGGTGCAGCAGGCGTTTGCGCCCACCCCCGGGGTTTCAATCCCTCTCCCCGGAAGCCTAGGCTATATCCACCAAGTTGATATTGGTTATCGTGTTATGTTACTGCCAGATGTGTGTGTTCCAATTCACTTCCTAGGGAACATCAATCAGCAACCTTTCATGGACCCCTCTCAAACGAATGAACCGATGCGTTTCGTTTGGAACATGGGTATGACGCAATCGAATTCTGGGAAATTGATGTACTGCGTGAAAATCAGCCGAAAATAGGACTACGGGTTATTTTTTGGAATGGAGGACTGGAGAGGTTGTGGTTGACGAGCCACATCGAAGCTCTCGAATCGTACGAAACACAGATTCGTCGCACCACCCATCCACAGCTACGACGAACATTGTGTTGGCATGTTTCCCTGGCAACCTCTTGAACTCTTTGCTTGTTTGGAAGGTGCGGCCAAGGTAGCGGTGAAAATCCCGCGGGACGCTCGACGTTCGACCCTCAAGCACTTCTGGTTCGAGGTTCTCATCATGAAGGTAATTTAGGTGGTAACGTTTAATTGTGGCCTTCAAACCAGATATGTGCACCGGATACTTAAACAATTGCAAGCAAACATGCCCCTGCAACAGGTCGAGGTGGTGTTCTTTTTGATTTGCACTTGCTCTCGTCATTGATCCCAGTTGTGGTGGACGGAGTTTCCTTGTCTCTTTCAACCATTTGTGTTGTGTATCGAAAATTGTATCAAGGAGAGTGGTCGTCATAGCTTGGCACGTTTGTTTGCGTGAATTTAGGTTTTCTGGGGTTCTTGAACCTAACTCAGCGAGTCGAGGACTCTGTTCCATGCACCAAGAGTTGTCGATGTACTTCTGACTGTCGCTGCTCCCCGCCCCCGCGCGCGAAAAGGGTTGCTTTCCCACGTCGCCAGCACAGGCGGTCCGGACCGTTCTGGTCATGTATGTAGAGTCGTGTTCTATGGCTCTAAATACTCACCTTTTCGGTGTTAAGAAAAGTAGGGTAAAGGCGGGGGTTTGTGTGACTTACCTCTCGAGGCCATGTATTGAGAGCACTGTTTGTTCCCCGCGGCTTGGTGGAGCTGTGATCGAAGCAAGCAATTGCTGTCGTTTGCGAACGTGCGTTACAAGGTGGTCAACGGTATTCTCTACGCGGAGTGCGGTCGCCGGTGACGCTGCTTCCACGGGGTACGAGATCAAGGGGCAAAACAGTACCATTATTAACACCAAGAAAATTGACCCTAATCTCCTGTTGGGATTGCTACAACCACCGCTTGACGCCGCACACACCCTCTCCCCGCTATGTTGCTCGCCTCCTCGAAGGATTTCAACCACCCGAACATCGTGCGCTTGCTGAGAGCGACGTGGCGCGGCCCGAGGCTGATGATGATCGTGAGTTTTCGGAGATCTGCTTTCAGATCTCGTATGCCACGTCTTTCACGCTGTTTCATAGTCCTCTGTTCTTCGTTTTCACGTCGGTTTAACCTGTAGGACACCTGGCACGTGATGTGAAGGTTTTGCGTGTCACGAATCCTGTTTGACACCGTCATATCGTGCTACGCGCGTGCATATGTGTGTAAAGGCGTGCAAATGCACGTGTTAAACTACTCTTTAATATGTATCAGAGGTCGCCACCACCCCGCCGAAGCGCCGCGAACCCAGGCCGTTGTGTTGACACGTTTTTTTGTTTGATCTCTTGTTTTCATCGTGTCTCTTCCCTCTATCCCGCATTCTTTCGAATTGTCTGAGATGTTGGTATCGGGGCGTGTACCGAGCGAGAACCTGGCCAATATCCACGCGAGAAGACATCCCGACAACGCACACTCCGCGAGAATCGCGAGCCTCGAGAAAAAAACCTTATGCACAGATTTTCAACAAGTACCTCCACGGCGTTGCAACAACCCTACACAGGGCGTGGCCGACCTTGGACGTGTGCAAGTGAGAATTCGTTATCAATAGTTTTATCCGTCATTTTCTTCCGTTGCCCAGCTGGAGTACGTCTCGAGGGGAAACTTGGCCAAGGTCCTGGAAGAAACCCCGGTGTTGTCGTGGCCGCGGCATAAGTTTCGCATGTGCCTCGACATCGCCAATGGCATGGCGTACCTGCATCGCTTCACGTAAGTTTGTTGTAAATAGTAGCTCTTGTCAGGTCCAGTTTCTTGCTGTGATAGCGACAACGCTCGTCACACGTGCAGGCAGGGAGGCATTGTCAACTCCTTGCAGCCAAAACCGATCTATTTCGGGTACATATTACGTTTTGCAAACGTGCAGCATGCATGGCTACCGGACTCTGTCGACGAAATCCGTCTGAAGTCAGAGTAAAGGCTAGATACGCTTCTTCGAACACACGCTTGGCCAGCAGAAGAGTCGCGCTGCACGCGGTTGATCTGGTTCCCATTTCTGGCTTGATTTACCGATAACCGTTGATTTGATATTGGCTTGACTCCACTCCGGAGTGTGTGAAACTGCTGCTGTTCTGCTTCAAAATATCCGCCCCCTTGTTCCCGATGAAACGTGTTCACCGTCTGTTCTCCGTCCATTGTCTTCTCTCGTCGGTTTCAGTCCGTTCGTTCGGAGAGGACAACCTTCTCGTTTTTCTCTCTCCACCGGCCCCCACCCCCCTATAGGCTATTCCGTGTTTGAGAGGAGCAATGTTGAGACCACTCAATGGTAGTTTCTCTTTTGAATTGATCTCCGGGGGAGCTTTGTGCGCTTGGCGTCTCCCCGTTGCTGGCACAGATGAGAAGGGGTGGCCTCGCTTCGTCCCATGAGCAATGTCCCTGCTGCTGCTGCTGCTGCTGCTGCTGCCGTTGTGGTCGCACTGGCTGAGCTGCCGGTCCATCTGCTTTTGCTCTTGCGCAGGCACTTCAACGAGCTGTCCAACTCGATGCACGACTGCATCATCCACCGGGACCTGAAGCCGCAGAACCTGCTGGTGACTCACGACTACCGGGTGAAAATCTCGGACTTTGGTGCAGCCACTGGAAGGGGAAATGATCCGCGCGACACTCAGGTTGGAAATTGATTCTTTCTGTGAAACACCACTCCTTGGGGATGGTGCCTGTTGTTGTTTGCTGATGGAAAACGTGGAGACCACAATCAGAGCGCCGATCGATGAGTTTACCGCCATGAATCACCGCGATAGTAGTGTTGGCGTACGAGTGTATACCACCACAGCAGGTTGGCCGCTTACGACCAAGCTGGCGTTGCACCCTACGACAAGACCACCTTACCAGCGGCGCTTTTCTTTTTTCGAAGTTACTGGCTTCGCATAAAGGTTGCTCAAGAAGCAAAAAAGTAAGCGTTGCCGCATACGGGAGATATCGCCAGTACGTATGAACCGGCCCGTATATTTTTTCCGCTGGTCTGCTTTAGCGCCAGAACAAGATACAGAATGTAAATCTCGCTGACGCCCTCTCGGCTTCACTCGTACGTGTCAGGCAAACCGACACACGGTTCACGAATCGTTGATTTGGTCCCGTAGACTATGCCGTCAGAGCCACGTTTGCTTCTTGAGCCTACACGTCCGTTTGACTCCAAGACAAGTCTTGTAGACATAGCCGGCGATCTTCTGTACGCCTCTCTCCGGGGTCATCAGAGGGTGGGAATTCTGTAAGACGTTCTGCGGCACGGCACTTCCTGGAAAGTATGAGTCCATGCCGCCTTGGCTTTTCCTTCCTGTGCCGCCAGTTCCCCGACGGCGCAGAAAACTTTCCCACCACATGCGTGCGGTCGCGGTGATGCACCTGACGGGCTATATTTTGTTCCGGTGCGTGTTACCAGGTTGGGACGCTGTTGTACATCGCGCCGGAGATCGTCCGAGGAGATTGCTACGACGAGCGTTGCGACATTTACAGCTTTGCGGTGGTGCTCTTGGCGATGCTACAGCTCAAGGATGACGTCGTGACCGTCTTTGCCGAAGAGGTTGGAACTGCAATACTCGAACGGCACTTGATAAACCCCGGCGACTGCATCGGTACTACGCCACACTTGATGGAGTAGGCTACAGCCAAGTGCTGTTTTGGAAGCCTTGCAGGTTACGGCGGTGTTGGTGGGAATTTGATGACAAGCGTGGCCTGATGTGCGTTACGAGACGTTGCTTTGTTGGCCGGTGGAGAGCGAGAGAATTGAACACTAGGCCTTCCGCATGTTCGTTGCTTCCTTCTGCTGGAAGCTCGCATGGAAAAATAAAGAGAGGAGCCGTCCATCCGTTTGTTCTGTTTTTTCTCTGCGTCTTCTTCCCCTTATCTCGAGTAGGCCGTTCGAAGAGGGTCGACCCCCCCCGCGGGCGTGGGGTGGGTGGGAGGGGGCCTGACACACATGGCCATCACCAACCAGATCGTGAACGAAGGCCTCAGGCCGACGCTACCATCCGAAGTGTTTCAGGTGTGTAGCTGCCGACACCGACAACAACAACCACAACAGACAGCCAACAGAGTTCTTACGCTGTTGTGTCGCCTTCTTTTGTATGAAGTCTAAGCTGCGGGTTGGATTCACCTCCTCCGCAGTTTTCGCTTTCAAAACGCCGGACCAAGCCACCTCTCCACTTGTTCTGGATGTCGCGGTCTAACAGAGCCAAGAGCGGAAAAGAGTTCTTTGAGCGGAAAAAAAAAAGGATCTGTCATTCCTTACACGCTTTTGTAGGTAAATTTTCGGACGGTGCTGGTGCCTCAAGTGTCGCTCATTTTAAGCTAGTTTTTTTTCGCGCCTTTCCACCGGGGGTGACCCGCTCTGCGAGGGCAGGCCAATCCGGCTGTCAAATGTCACAGGGTCATTTGTCTGTGGTCATTTGGGGCACTACGAACAACACAGAAACGATAAATACTGGTGACAATGGATGTGAACGTCGATGACCACCGCAGTCCTCCCTTTTGGGCGGTTCTTGACCACGATCTTTTCGAGATGTTGGATAAATGCGAGGCAAATGTCCAATCACTAGCGTACTTGCTCCGCATCGGCTACCTAGCCATTGCAGTCCAGATTTGCTGCCGTGCACTGTCCGTGATGAACACCGGCGAGCAGCACATCCGACCTATCAATGATCATGACTATTTTTCTTGTCCCCCCCGCCCCTCTACCCACCAAACAACGTAGACGTTGAGGATTTTGATCGAACAGTGCTGGGCGCCGATTCCGGTAATGAGACCGACTTTCGAGGAGATCGTGGAGTTCTTGGAGACCATCGCAAGGGACGAGGTGTGTTTTGGCAGCGATGTTTACGACTGTCGGAAGTCAAAGGCCTGGTGGAGAGACGTACACGCAACACATGGGTATGGTGCAGGGTTTTGAGAGTTCCCAGAGTTGGGGCGGGCAGTTGCATGGCGTGTTCGGGCTAAGAACAAACGTGTCGTACGCGATGTACATCCTAAATCAGTTTGCTGCTCTTGGTGTTCGGACGCACTTCGACCGGTGCGCTTCTCGGTGTTCTTTCTCGACCGTTGGTATTCACGTTGTTTTCGGTTGGCGTCAATAGATGGTAGGCGGGTTTCTTCAGGCTTTGTCCATCCCCTAGGTGATGACAAGAACAAGGAAGAGCCGGTCAGCACTTCGCACGGCATCTGGGCCGTGCCTATTCCCGATAAGCGCCCTGCCCCCCTTGTCCAGATCTTCGAACGCCAGCCGTCGGAGGGTGAGCCGGAACTGAACGAATCGACAGGCATGAAGTCGGGGGCGGTGCCGGGCCAGCATGGCTGCGACAAAGATCCTGTCGTTCAGACTGGCGCCGAGGTAGCTACTGCTGCTGCTTTCGGCTCGATCCCGGCGAAACGCGAAGCTCGAGCTTCGGTGGAGGAGATGCCCCAGGGCGCGGTAGCACAGGTCCATGCCAGCGAGCAGGTACGGTACACCATGGCCTCGCGCGATACGGGAATGATAGCGCGTGGTTGAGGTATGACCATGGTTGAAAACAAGCTTAACGCCGCATGTTGCACAGAGTCGTTGTTCGACCAGACGCTTTCGGGTATAGTCCCACCAGCATGGGATCGGGGGGAGTCGCTGCATGTTGCATACACAGCTATTCTACCTTGGTGACGCGATGGGATAGTTCAGAGCTGTGGTGACATTTGCAGTGAGGTCTTGGTCTACACCATTATGCCTCAAAAACGTGAGAAATGTACCTGTCTACCGTCCCTTGGCGCCCTTCTCCCCCACTTTGTGACACCGGGTCTGAAACACCACGCTAAGTTTGGTACCGATGCTTCCACCGCCGCCGTTTTTCCTCACGGTTCCCATATCATGATCGCAATAAAATGTTCCCAGGATGGGCATCTTGCTTCCGTAGAGGCGGCAGGGTCGGTCGAAGAACAGCACCACCCCGCGGACCAGGTGGGGCACACTGGGGTCTCTGATCTGTCGGCACGTCCTTGGACAAGGAGACGGGGCAAGGGCTTCATCCCGATCAAGGGGTGAGAATTTGCTGCCTTCCCCACAAAAATTCCATGCTGAATTCTGCCCCGCACACCCCAAATTCCGTTCTCACCACACCATTCGAACAACGCAAGTGTAACACTATGTTGGCTTTTCTCTACTTGCCGATAGTGGTGACATCTGTTCGATCTGAAGTACGTCTGTTTTCCGACAGGTGTTGTCGATGTGTTCCCCGACAAACCTAACTGGAAAACGCCCCTAGGCAGGTGGTTTTGCAAGAATCGTCGCCAAGAACACTTTTGTGTGTGTGTGCTATATCAACACCCGCTCGCTGTTCGTGGGAAGCCCCACGCACGGGTATACGGTTCCCTGTCACTATTCCTTGACAAATGCGATGAGAGGCTTCCCTGGGTTCGTTCGTGCTGCCAGTTGTTCATTCCCTTGGTCTCGCAAGAAGCCGACACTGTCTGAGAAGGGTCGGGGATTACACGAGTATCATGCTGTCACGCCATTTCAACCTTTTGTTGCACGTTCTCTGGAACGTGTAGTGGTGACCCTGAGGCATGTACTGCAGTAGGCTCCTTTGGACGAATACGCCGGTACGGCTCAGCTGAGGGGCTACAATATCCCGTGCGCTCTGTATCATCCAGTGTGTATGGACACGTCCCCACATTGTGCACGGGGGCTTGGTTCGGTTTCATTCCTTCTGTTGTACGGCGAGATAGATGTGGCTCCGCGTTGCTTCCCCCCGCCAACTGCGGCTGAAGTTTTGTCGGCTTCTGACTTGGTTCTGTGAAACAGGAGCACGGGCATGGAGTTCTTGAAGACCAACAACAGCGCAAGACTTGCAGCACTGGTGGGGAAGAAGCAACAGCAGCAGCCGCAGCTTGAGGAAGAGCACGGGGTGAGCATCTTCGCGGACGAGCATCGAACGAATGAATCACGATCTCAAGCAGACCAAACAGGGCGATTTGGAGGCGGTTCTCAGAGCCTTGAAGAGGGCTTTCGGGGCCCAACTTCCAAAGATCTAGCCAAAGCAGAGACGACACGAGCGGTGGACGATAACCAAGAATCATCATCGTCATCGTCGAAGTTTGTTTCTTCTCGCAGGCGGCTGGGCCCGGAGACCCCAAGCCCGGACGCGAATAGCTGGCCGTCCAGCTCACCCTCCTCTTCCGCGCAAAAGAAGCAGCCCCAGCAGCCAGATGGCAGCGAAAAGAGTGGGCGCGATCAGCGAGCTCCCGGGTCCTTGTCGCGAGCGAGATCACCGCCCTACGCTGGCACTCCTTATTACACTATGACGAGCACACCCAGTGGCAGTGGCGGAGTGTACGAGGAACGCAATGGAGGTATCGCCGCTGACGCCGTGAAGCCACAAGTACTCGCCTTGGAGGGCATTGCGGAAGAACCCCCGGAATGGGGCCCCCGGCACGGGGAATCTGCGGCCGCCGTCCGGTTCGAATACGCGACGCAGGCAACACCGACAGGCAGCAGCAGTTCCAACGAGGGGCGGCGGCAGCAGGAGTCCCAAGAAGCACGAAGGAACATTAGCGAAGAGGCGAAAGAGAAGGGAGACGAGAATGAGAAACGCGAGGAGCAGGGAGGGTTGCTCCAGCAACCCCAGCCGGTGTACAACGACGACGACAGTGGCAGCCACCGAAGACATCCGGGACAAACCAGCGCCTGGGGTGCCTTCTCTCCTGAACAATGCTCCAGTGCCGCCGAGTTGCGAGGGACAAGGCAACGGTCGATTTCCGGCCTTGGGCCCTCTTCTTCCGCCTCCGCTGGACGAGATGAAAAGCAGCGATCAGAGCGGTGACGAAAAATGCGCTGACGCGCGTGGCTTTTTGGTCGGGTGCCGCCACGGTGCGGCCACTCTTGGGGAGTAGGTAGCTCACGCAGTCTCCGCCCATTGGGGATTGGGAATAGGGAAGGTGCTCATGTATTGCTGGAGGTCGTAGAGGCGTTGGACGGCGCTGCGTCGGGTGCGCCATCGTCGTTACGAATCGCGAAAGTCCTAAAGCACCGGCAAGGACGTGCAGTGGTCAAGCGTGGACGGCGCAACGTGCAACACTGGTTCTGCCGGTTGCAGCGCAAACTGAATCTTCGTCGTGCGTGTTTGTTTATCGTTACTGAACGGTTGTAGACCAATCGCTAGTTGTGCGCTTGTCGCTGAAGATATAGAGCTGTTGTGTTATTATTTTCAAAGTGTTCTGTCTCTGTCTCGTCGTCGTTTAACGGCATGGTTGTGGTAGGGCTAGGCATGTATCTGTACATAGAGCAGTCGACAATATCTAATAGTAGTTGTTGGCGGTTTTGGAGGCCCATTAGCGTGGGTTGACGGAAAGGCTTACGTCGCGCCGAGACGAAAAAATTTAGCGAGTTTGCACCTACGACCATGGGTTGCAGTTTATTCCGCCACAAGGGTTGTTGCTTTCTTGATGCAGCGTACGGTTTTCTCTTGATGTTTGCATGTTTCAGAAATATTTCGTTTCGACATCCCTCTGAAATATAGCAAAGAGAAAACGGTCAACGGCAATGGCACAACCTATGTTCGCGTGCGCACATGGTGACGTTTTTCTCCTATTTTTCCTTCTGCGCTGATTACCCCCCGCTGTGGGTAGCCGGCTTTCTTGCGAATATCCTCTCGTGCTCAAGACCACAGAGCGTTGATTGGACGAAAAATTGCACCCTAGGTCGTTAGGGACGGTGTGCAACTCTCGAGACTTGTTCGTAAATCCCCTTTTGTAAGGCTCGAAGCCTCTTTCGGCTAACGTCGAAACCCTCCTGTTTCCATTGCAACCAGGCTTCGACGATTACACTCACAACACAAGTACGCACCACAGTACATGTTTTTCATCGCGGCTCATTTCTGACGCATTGCGCAAGATCATGTCACGCCTACATATCCACGCACAGCCGCGAGTGTGCAAAACCCGGCCTGCACCGGTGGCTGGTGACGCTCTGGATTTGGTTTTCACGGTGCGATTGCGACGCGAACTTACTTGGGCGTAGCCGCGTAGCGGGTGCAAGGCCACAGCCGTTCCTGGAGTTTGGTGTCATGCCCAAGAGAGCATGAGGAACAAAAAATTTCTGCTCTGTCCACCCTAGCTGAGGACTATACTCTGGGAGTCTCGGAACCAAGAACGACCAGCTCTGTCTATCTTGACCCATGCTCGAAATCCAAAGACCGAACAGACAGGACACACTACAGCCGTAAAATATGAACGTAGCGGATACAGATTCTCCTATTCGGGTGTGTCACAGCCTGATGTGTGCATTTCTATCCCTGTCGCGCCCATGCTCGGCGTGGACGACTACATGCGCCCACGCACTCACTCGCGCGCTCCGTTGTGGTTGTCGTACGGGAGCGAATGTCGCAGTTTTCCCAGAGTCTGTCGAACGCGGAGAATCGGTGAGAAACTAAGATGAGGCTGGCGGCAACTCCATGGCACAAGACATATTCCCTGAAGCTGTTGGATGTTGTCTATCATGATTGCATCTTCCAACGGAGACCTAAAGCTTTTTCTTCAGCTGGCCCAAATATCCCCAAAGCCTTCTTCCGCTACCCTGCTTTCCACAAGCAGAGATTGCTAAAGTGCGGGTTCTAGCGTTGGGGACCACTCCCCGCTCCGACATGTCGCTCAGGAGGTCCAAGGCCTTCTCCCATTGATCCCCACCCGCAAACGCTTCGATGACGGCGTTGTAGGTTGTGACGTCAGCAACCACTTGCCTCTCCGACATTTCGCCGAGGAGGTCCAGAGCCTTCTGCCACCGACCACATTTTGCACACGCACCGATAGCTGCATTGTAGGTGATGACATTAGGGGATAATCCCCGTCCCAAAACCTCGTCCAGAAGAGTAAGAGCCTTTTCGTACTCGTCTGCATCGCCGCACGCCTTTATAGCCGAGTTGAAAATAAAGATGTTGGGAGTCACCCCCTCTTCTTCCATCTCACCCAAAAGATCCAAAGCCTTCTCCAGCTGCCTTCCTCCACAAGCCGTGATGGCAATGTTGTACGACATCGCGTCGACAAGTCCTGGGGACAGTTTTATTTCATCGAGCGTTTGCAGTGCTACCCTCCAATCCCTCTTCTTCCCAGCTTTGTGCAGCGTCGTTTTCAGGCTGGACTTCAAATCACCAGCAACCCCTTCCTCCTCATCTCTCCGAGCTGTCTTGGTGGCCACCTTTACCTTCGGTCGCCTCTCTACGGCAGCTTTATTCCAGGCGTATATCCGAGAAGACTCGCGCGATTTTGAAGTGATGCTGGAGATCACACGCACAGCGAACAAGCTTCGCAAAGAAGCGCGACCTGTGAACGTGGTCGGCAATGGTCCGTACATGCCGTTGAAGAACAGGGAGCGCGGTGGGCCGTGGGCGTGGAGCATGATTGCTAAGAAGCACGAGAACGGAATAGGGGGGGGCGCCGTCCTCGCCATACTCATGATCCCCCGGTCTCGTCATACTGCTCTCGTGTGCTCACATTGCCTTGGCACTACGTTGCGCCTGAAGGAAACATTCGAAAAAGTAGTGTTTGTTGAAAATATTGCCTTACTTCTTTGTCGTGGAATCGGAGGGGAATCCTTCGAAAGTCGTTTCCAATGCTTACCAATGACATCCCGTACTTCGTGCATAATATGAATATTTTCCAGCAATCAAGGCTCACCCGCTGCCTCATGAAATAGCTCGACGATGGGCAGCATATTTGGTGATGGAGAAAACCGGTGGTATTGGGAAGCTTATCGCAGTGCCTTTTCTGAGGTTGTCCATAACCAGATATTGAAAGGAGGCGTTGTGTTCTGGTTGTGTTGCGTGTTTTCGACACGAAAGCACGCTTGCCACTGATTTGTTTTTCGTTGGAGGAGGGAGGGGCATGTTAAGCTCGAAGTTCACGATAGGTGCCGGTGGAAGCTGAAGCCCGCCTTGTTGTAGGTGTGAAGCTGCATAAGCGTGGGCTAGATTGATTGGGTGCAAATCATTTGCCGACAGACAATCTTCGTGAACTTGTCGGTATAAGATGGGAGGCTTTTGGGGCGTTTAAGATGCGCAGGCAGAGATGGGAAAAAAGTGTGTGCTGTGTGGGAAACCTATTGGTGTTCATTCTTACTGAGAGGCGAGATCAGTGCACATGCTACTGCTGCTGGTACTGCTGTTTTCCAGCAAGTACGCCCAGTAAATTTATTCCGAAACGACAACCTCTCTCAGTGCCACCCCAACCTCTACCAAACTGCTGCCGCAATTTAGAAGAACTGGTGTCGATACGCGCACCTGTTGTTATCGTTGCCTTCGTACAACCCTTGAAGCCACGCGCGAAGCACGCCAGCAGCACCAGAGTAACGCACTTGGGTAACGTAGGCATCCTTGAAAGGCCAGATTCTCGTGTGAATTGGTAGTGGCCTGTCGCAGACACCACCCTTTGGTCCGTTGAACAGGTAAAAACTAAGAACGTGTTCAGGGTCAAACGGCAGAGACAGGGTTCCGCAAGATTAGGCTCCAGTTTCGTACAGAATGGGCATATATATGTCTGTTTATTTGTAGAAACGCTGATCTTTCCGAGGCTTTGTTGTTGTGGAACTGGTACCAAATCCGGGCTGGAGCACAAGCAACGGATATTTGAAAGCTGGCAAGCAAGTTGGTGACCTCTCCCACACGACCCAGCGTGACAATAGATGGGAAACAGCAGTGTTGCACGTGAGCTCGATAGCTTATTGCCACCAAGAGGTTGTTTTCACCTGGCGCCGTTGGGGTGCTGAGCTCGGGAGAAGCCGCCTGGCGTGTGTTGTGTTGTGTTGGAGTGTTGGCAACAGGTCAGCACCAGGCAGCACGGGGACAGCAGCTCGTGTCCCCGTTTATTGCGCTGGACGGTTCTAGATGGGAACCACACCTTTTGACGAATGGAACCTTCGAACCTCAAACCTCCCGAACCCCGAACCCCGAACCCTCGACCCTCCGACAGCTCAGCGACAGCTCGACAGGACAGGGCCCCGACCAGGACGCCTCGAATAACATAAGCCCTGGCGCCCTGGCCGATCAGGCACGGGAAGGTGTGCTCAGGCAAGCGAAAAATTGGTGTCAGAGGCAACATCAAGCATCTGCCTGACCTACGATTCCATGCCTGATATATCGTCTGGACGTCTGCTGGGACGTCTGGTATTTCAAGCATGTAAATATTTCTCATAGCGTAGCGACGGGCTTATCGTCGTGTTTTTTCTTCATGTTCTGCCTGAAGCTGCCTGGAACTGTGTAGGGGCAGTCAGGCAACAAAACACGGTCTCAGGCAAACATTTGATACAAACGCCCTCACCAGGCACCAAATCAGGCATATTCCTGATGAGGGGGTTGGAAAAAACGGGCGCTTTATGCAAAATCTGATGCATGCATGCCTGATCGGCCCAGAGGGCTTACACTTCCCTCGACTGCTCGTGTCAACTGGTCGTGGCTCAACGGCTCGACTGGCTCGAAGACAAGGTTCTCCCGTTCTCCCTCTCAGCCGTTCTCTTCAATCAACGTGACATAAGTACACTGTATTTGGTCAAGCATATACAGAGTGCCGGCCCGCTCGTGCAATATGTTGGCTCAGATCTTGGAAATGCCCAAAAATAAGAAATTGAGCCAGCGGCCGGGCGCTACATTCATTCCTATACAGAAGCCTTTGCTCAGTGGTGGGGAGAAGTAGATGTTTCTTATGAACAGACCGGCACTGCACAGTACAGTACATGCAGTTGCCACACGTATTCCTCAGCGGTTTACTTTATGCATAATCGGCTCACAACTTGCCCAGCCAATGTTGTAGCACCCTGCCGCATTTTGAACCCGGATCTCCCTGCTGCTGGTCCCATTTTCTCGACACATTATTTGGGGGTCGCTCATCTTCGGTCGCTCCATGCTTGTTACAGTCTAAACATCAAACAAGTACAAAAATGTTAACCAAGGAATGTAACGCCAAAAAATGGACGGGAATCGAGCAGAATATCGCAGAGAGACAGCCCACATTGACCTGCTCTCCCATACGGCTCTCCTCTCTCTCTTTCTCTCTCTCTCTCTCTGTTCCGTTCAATGTACGCATACGCTTCCTCATGTATTTGTCGCGCTTTCCGGGTAGCGCAGGTAGGAGTTTCATGGTGATAGATCAACGTGACGAGTATCGTTGGCGTTGCCTGTCTGAAGCTGATTTGTTTTTTTGCGGGGTTATTTAGCTGTTGGCTGTGTATTGCGTTGTTGGTAGGTCACGAACCGATGGCGGATGGAAACAAGAAAAGGAACAACAGCTGCTCGGGGAACGAGGCCGTATAATAACAAGTTAGTCACCGAACAAAGAACCCATTGGTGACCTGCCCCGGATTCTTGTCTGTCGAAGAAAAAGGGTACGGTGCTACACGTAGAGAATTTCGCCGGTCACCGTTCGTTGTTGTGGTCAGAACCTATACGCTTGCTCAGTCAGTACGTCACACTACAAACTACACTACCTTCCAACCGTGGCCACAGGCCAAGAATCCAAAGGAAGTATATCGACAAAAAAAACAAACCCCGAAAAAGGTAAAAAAAAAATTGAACAACGAAGGGCATATATCTACTGTTGTTGCTAATGATGATACCGTTTGGTATTTCTGATTTTGTTTTTGTAGTAGACTGGCGCACCGAATGAATCTATTTGAATCCCTAGATGAGATGACTTTTTCAAAACAAATTCGAGACGATGACCAAAAATGAGCGATAGAGACCGGACGGGGGCCACCCGGTGAAAGGGAGAGAAATAGCATGCATAGTCGTACGTGTCGCACACATCTAGCGTACGCAGCATGGTGGTGCATCGGCGTTAGTATGCGCTTTCGCCGCACCACGACGTATTGGCTCTAGGTCGAGTGGGTAACTTACTCGGCCCTCACACGTTTTCATTTCCAAACCGCCTCTGAAATGAACATAATGACGCCGTTGGTTGCTGCCACGCCGACCCTGAGATTCGAGTTGTTCCGGCTTTGTGCGAGAAGCCAACAAGCGCGATCAAGACAGGAAGATGAAGGCGGACCGGTCAAGAGGACCGAAACACCGGGGTAACGCGCATGGTGGCACACTTCACAACATGCAACTTGTTTGCTCGTCGTATCATGGCTTATTGGCACTATGTCGCGCACATTTTCATTTACTAGGCCACCACCTGCACTGAACATTTTATCGTTGGTTGCTCACAAACGGACGTTTTGATTCGATTATTGCATTTTTGCCGACATTGTGAAATTGTTCAAAAAGACAAAGGGTAAATGCAACATAGCATATGACTTTTCATTGCTACTCTTACCCGGACTCTTGTCTGTGGAGGAGATGGATTTGTTGAGTTTTAGAAAGAAAAATATTAAGCAGAGGAGTTAGACGGGAAGACGGCGAACCAGAGAAACGCATGGATGATCGCATATGGTCGCACACTTGTGGTGCATGCCACTGTGCGCTAACCGTGATGAAAATCGGCGAGGACCCATGACGCGCGATACCCTACAAAGGCATTCTCAAGATATCGCAAGACGTGCACCGTAGGTTGAGATCGGTCTGTTGTTTGGTGCCATGCGGACCCTGAGATTCGATTTTTTTCGAATCCGTTCTCGTCAAGACCAATAGAGCGACGGAAACAGGCACACGGCGAAACGGTGAAGACCAGAGAAGAACAACAGCGCGCATGGTCGCACATGGCCGTCCACTTGAGGCGTACGCTACCGGGCGCGGAAATCCCATGGAACTTGGCGAGGGGCCATGAATTGCGATGCCCTACCGAGGCATGGTCGGGATGTCGCGAGACGTGCGCCATAGGTCGAGATCGACTTTTGAGACACGGTCGGGCAAGGGTAGGGGAATCGGAATAAGAGGGTCTGCGACAAAATTGAATTTAGGTCGGAGAGAGTGAACCTTTCAGCTTCAGAAAATAGTGTGCCGCACGCTAAGAGCTCCTCGTGTATTTGTCGCGCTTACCGGGTAGCGCAGGTAGGTGTTTGAAAGAGTGTACCGCATGCTATGACAGCAATATCTAGTTTCCGAGTGGCAAGGGATGATGACTATGGGTGAATTGTGTGAATGTGGAGGATATGACCCAGACAGTGGAAAAATAACCAAAGGATAACTCAATGGGCAGAGGTGTTGGGAAACGTGTGCTACGTAGACCATCTGATGGTCCATGTTGTCGAATCCTTCTTCCGGAATCTAACACCTCCTTCATGGGAAAGATGAGACCGTAAAAAAATCGGGCACTCAAGAGAAGCGTACGAAATATGGGGTCGGGGCTCAGTTCCATATTCTAGGTTCGAGATCCAGCCGAAATCGTCAATTTCTCGTAAGTAGTTTGGTCTTGTCGCATGCTTCATATTCATGTTTCTCGTGAAGAGTACAACATACCAAGCATTCAGGCGGCATCAACCCGAAACGTTGGTGTATTAGCGGGGAACCCTAGCATGCGGGCTGTCGCCCTCCTAGACTTCCTCACTCCCTCCTTCATGACGTTCGCCTCTAGCAGCACCCACGCCCAAAGTGCAGCGGGATCATCCGTGCTATGTATTGGACTCAAAGGTTTATTCCGGAGAATACGAGTTGTGACGTTACGGAGTGTGTTTTATACTGATTTTGGAAGTCCTCCTCTACGTTCGACATGGGCGTTTTTCTTGCAACATCACGTTGCACAAATCGTTTACCCTCAAGCGGCATCAGTGCCGAGTACGGAGGTGCAATGGGCAGATGCTCACAAAAGCGCTAACACTAAGACGGGACACTATAGTAAGACGGGAGGCTCACCGCAAGCAAATAACAAAGAATTAAATACACTCGGTTGCTGTTTCTGCTTCAAGTACTGCAGGAAATCCGCGATACTCTATTACTCCTTTTCCACCGCTTTCCTCGATCCGATATCGCTTATGCACGCTAGCTACGTCTTTGGCAGACGGTACGATTCCCAAGCGACTCTGCTTTCTTCAGCATCTTCTAAGCAGTTTTATTCGCTATTCATGTCCAACCATTCTTACTACTATTATCACGTGCATACCACCCCGCTTCGATTTAACGCAGGTTTGGTCAGGGATGTGTAGAAATTGCGTCAACGATTTGCAGGATAGCATCGACGTCGAGACACAGGAAGTTAGTCGACACCCCCAACAAAACGCCTCGAACATGGTCCAAACCGCTCCAAACCCAAGCCTCACGCACTGGCAACACGCCCACACGCCATGAAGAGCATGGTGATAGGCTAGTGTTGGGGTTTACTACGCATAGTCCGGCGGCGACCGAGGGAGCAACCCAGATATTCCTTTATCTGCATGTCGAGGTACATACAGACCAATCACTACACTTTTCGACAAATCAAGCTCTCCTTGGACCCCCTTCCGCATCATTGGCCAAAGCCCCCCCAAGAGACCCACGAGAGACCATCGAGTGGATGGCTGGCAGCAAGTCATGAAATGTTTGTTTTCATCTACGCCTATGGGCACATCTCCTCTACAACGGACTACATCAACGTGCGATCACTGCAGGGAACACACACGCCTGAGCTCCAGAAAGCAGCTTGGGGGAAAGAAGCAACGAACACCGCTCGGTCAGATCTGTCACGGCGAATTCCAAACGCCGAAGTCTAACGATGTGGTGTTTGAGCACCAGACAAGAACCATCCAACATCTGTCCATTGTTGGGTATTATGACAGAGTTACCAACAAATATTTGAACTGGAGAACTAGTTGTGCATGGGCCTGATAGCCCTATATTGTGTTTCTACAGTCTAACTTACGGCATGGCTTCGTCGTTTGGCAACAAGAGAAACCGAAACATCAAGCTCAGGAAGAGTACAGTAACATATACTCGGCCCCGACGTTAATCCTTGCTGAACCAATATCAATATGCAAGATGCCGGGCAGGCACCTGCACGTCCTCAGCGCATCAGCCCTTGGAGGGGGATTCGTTGCGGGAAAGACAAGACGTACAACACCAGGCAGGGAATCTCTCAAAATGGCTGTGCCTCTTCCAAGGAGGATATCCTGGTCGGAAGGCATGAGGGCACTCAAAGCATCATGTCAAAACCGTGTTTCCTCTTGTCGGAGCGATGCCTACTGTAGATCCCGGCACATCCGATGCTGAACTTGTGCTAGAAATAACCCATCTGATGTAGAATACCGCGTATACACGTACGCCCTGCCCGTCCATGAGGACCCATAACCGTGCGGAGCGTGGTACATCCCCGAGAAGCCGAAAGATTGTCAAAAGTACTTACGGATAACTTGCTACTAAAAGCTCTCTTTGTAGATCTTCCAAGCGCAGGACGACTTGTCGGGCAGACGGTCTTCGCTCGGGGTCCTGGTGCCACATGTCTTGAAAAATCTGCTTGCACGGTGCACGTCGCAGGAGAACCGCGCATCGAAAGTTCGAACCCAAGCGACAGTGTCCTCAGACATCGGTGTCCACATGATGAATGACTTGCTGGACGAGGGTTAGGCTGGACGAGGTGAACGACCAAATAAGGAAATAATACGCCCTGCCTCCTTGCCCCTTTCATGTCTCGAACGCCATCAAGACCAGCAATATTTTCGCCGCGATGCCAAAAACCTCTACGGTTGATACGGGGAACTCGCCGAACAACTGAGGAGATGTGCCTGCGCACACCCATGACGGTAACTCGCGTTCCGAACGTGTGCTGCCCAGACTGGCCTCTGCCCGACCTTCCGCCAATGCCGTCAAGTAAGCCCTCCCCACTCGTTTAAAACTTGACGAGACTATTGCATTAAGTAGTAAGTACCACAAGAGCGGCCGAAAATACCCCATGCCAGCTTTGGTGTTCTGCAACCACTTGAGCGTCGCTAGGAATATGGCAGGCGTAATTCCACACCCAGCAATCAAGGAAGTGCTGCCGCACCGCACGCGGCACGAAGTGTTGTCAACAAAATAAATATAAGGATGGCTGACCTGCACGGAGAACACCTGAAGTATTAACAGGCGTCACGTCAAGGCTCATCTTCTTCACAAGCCAAAGGAGTTCAGCACACTTTGATCGGTCAATGATTTTCGCAAGGATCTAACTAAATAGATGGGCGTATCAAACATTTGGGCATCCTGCGTCACTCCCGAAGGAATACTGCACGCCCGAGGGAATTCAAGGTCTTGCTATTGTTGTGATATTTTCTGTGAAAAGAACACGCGGACTCACCCTTGTGAAGCCCTTGTGCCACGATGGATCTATCTCTGGCCTTAATTTAGCTTCATATGCCCTCTCGAAAGCTTCTTGGTCGGGAAAAGGCACTCCACCAGAAATCAGTGAGAAGTAGATCATTCCCATGGCGTAGATGTCGACCTTTTCTGACAGGGGCTGGCATGGGAGTCGGGTGGAGAGAGAACGCAAATTGCAATAATGAGCATGGTGTGTGATTGTCCAGGAGCGACTTATATATGCATGTCGTGATGCTCTCTGGGTATGCCTCGAGTGGCGCAGGATATCACACCCCGGCCACGAAAAATATTAGCGTTTGACAAAAACATGGCGCGGTGTGATATTCTGTAGGGGGTGTGGACACACGTTTCGCCCTGCCTCGTGAGTTTTTTTTTGTTAAGGCGCTCTCTGAGCGTTTGAAACACTTCAGAATTATGTTGGTCGCGTTTAGTACTTGCTTGTGGCATTCTGCAATGGCATTTCTTCTGAGGGCTATTTCACACCATCTCCTGTATGGCGTATTCCACCGAAATTCGAGACAATGCTCCAAAGGTTGAGATAGTCGCTTGTGTACGTGAGGAGCTGACCAAGGAAAGCTGCATCCCAAAACCATGATCCATGTTAACAACATGGGAGAAAATCCACCAAGTATGCCCGTGTATGCGAGTACTTTCCGGTTCCCAAAGCCAAAGGCACACTACTTCGGCACACAACTCCTGCAGCAAATGGACACTCTCACACCCTCTAATACTTCGACCCACGGAGCAAAATCGAAAAGAAACAACAACGCGAAGGCTTGCTGTATGAGAATCGTTGGCATCTTGTGCTAGCTATTGGGGACATGTCCGTGTGCCTTCTATTTGCCCTACACTCCGAAAAATGCATGTTGTATCGTCTGCCGGTCGACGTCTCGAGTAACTACGGTGAGATGGACGGAGTCGCGCACGTTTGCGTGTGATATTGGGGGAGATTGCTTGGCACCTCGTTCCACCCTTGTCATGCTTGCATTGCTCTCATTGTACGTACCGTGCCATAGCACCTTCTAGAATTGACTCAGGAATAACCTGCAAAACGCGCCTATGCATACAAAGGACCGAAACAGAATAGCTGCCACGTCACTTCCCATGGCGCAGGCTTACACGAACAAGTGGGCAACCGGGCATCCGACTCCTGTTCATAATTTTCTCGCTATCTACTGTAACAATGTGTACAGTGCGACCGAGATACCGAGATATACCTAAAAAACAGGCGAAAAACAGAGAATGTTTTTGCCGGAAAGCCGATCAAACCACTTGACCAACACCCGGGAGTTACCCGTGTTGGCCGCTGAAGAGTTGGGCTTCCAAATGGGTCTCTCTACGTCGTACCTTTCCCGCAACGTTTTCAGGGGCCCTCCACGGCACTATCCGAGCTGGCTTGGCTGCGTTTGCTGGGCAATATTCTCCAGTAACACGATCTACGCTCATGAGATGGGCACTGTTGAAGTCGTTGACCTTTCCACGTCCAGTACCGTCAATGAGCAGCTGTTGCGGCTTCATGTCAAGGTGGATTGCGCCAGCGGTCTCGTGCAATGCCTGCAGCCGAAACCACAACGGGGACAAAGTGGACCGTTTGATGATTGGTGTCACACAGGAGCGCTTGAAAGGCACCCCTGGTTCAGCGCGGAGTTTGGAGCTTAGACGTGTCGTCGAATCCTAAGAAACCGAGGGGGGTACTTGTCGAGATAGCACACCGCGGTAGTGTACTGTCGTGGACGCTGGCATCCATAAACAATCGGTGGAGAGGACGCGGCAGGGTAACCCTCGCCGCCGATACGCCATGAATCGCGCTTTTTGAGTCGGGGAGAAAGTTGATCTCCACCTGAAATGAACTTCTCCCCGGCAACTTCTTTCTAGTGGCGGAATCAGAGGCCCATTTGATTGCTTCGGGTGTACGTAGTCAACTACAGTATATCCCCAGTTATCACGCGTCAGAATTACTCGCCTTCGTGGTGTCTGGTCAGATACGCGGCACACGTAAATCTTCGCGAGAGTGGTTTGAGTTAGTTACTATGTGTGTTATCGTTCGGAATCATCAGCGTTTTTGGTACGCCCAAATTTCTGTAGTGTCCCTCTCGATCACTTGCCTGCAATCCTTGGGCGACGTCGAGCGCCAAGGAAACCACTCGGCCAAGAGATCGTCCGTGTGGTAGCCCGAAAATGGTACTCAGAAAGTTGTCCGAGTGGTACTCTGTCACCACCGTGGTTTGACAAAAGCCGAGCATTCCCACAATGTGCGGCTGCCCCCGTAACTGCCCGTGTTCGAACGAGAAGGGCGGGTAAGAACGGACGGACATGCTAGATCAGCGCGCGTTCTGATATCAGAAAGGTTTTCTGGAGATATGGGGGGCACGAAGCGAACTCAGAAGGATAATACATGAAAAAAGAACCTTTGCAAATATCAAGGGAACTTTTGCGGGTCGGCGAAGACTAAACATCTTTGACAAGCGTGATATGGCCACACAACATTTTCTTTGGCATGCGTTGAAATTGGCGTGAGGAACGCATTAAGCGCTGGAGAAAAGCCACTGAGACGGTCCTAGAGATAGAAGGAACATCTTCTCCATTCGTTTGGACTGGGCCGCAACGAGTATGAGGTGGTCCTCTCGGAATCAGGATATGTTCCTGGAAACTCCTTGTCGTACCGGGCAAGCAGTGTCGACAGCAGTGTGAACACCGCCCTAGGAAGAAGTAAGTATTATATAGTCTTCTCACCGCATCCAGAGTCAAAACCTCTCGTCTATGCATGCTGAGGTGCGCCTTCTCCCTTCTCAGCTCCTCCACGTGCTGGAGGGTCTTGACGACCACATTTTCTCCCTGGTAGTTGACCATGAAAACAGTCCGAATTCTGCCGGTACCAATGAGAGCCATGTCGCCACTCAACATTTCCTGCTCAAGCAACGTTACACGCACACGGAAAGAGCGGCACACTAAACGACGGCGTTGCAACACCTCACCTGTAGCAATGGCGGGCTGGCTTCAAGCCACTGCGCCGTGTTAGCAAGAGCACCGATCGTCCTCAAGCGATCGGTTCACGGTTCTTCTCAGGTCTCAACATAAGCAACGCCGATCCACAACAAGCTTCCAGAGGCGAGATGGTTGATCTTTGTTGTGGTCGTAGTTGTTGTTGTCCGCAAGACCGAGACAGAGAGACACACGGAGGACGACCAAACTGGCAAAAACAGGCGACACGCGCCTTGCGCCGTCCCGCTCTCTGTTCACACTGCACCATGTCTTTGCTTTCGCCACCCACAGATGTTCGGATGTACCAAGTTGTGGCGCTGCGGCAAGGGTTACATGAACAAGTCCCTACTGACGCCTATCTTTTCCGTTGGCCAATACTCCGTGCTCTGAATTCGAAATGATATTGACGTTGTCTACCCGTTAACGTTTGCTCTTTCTTTTCCTCCACCTATTCCAAACAATGGAAGGTTCAACGGGCAACAGCGTCAGGTGTGAACGTCATAGCTGCGTGTTTTTCAATCGCGTGTCCCTCTTCGACCAATTCCACGCCGTCCGTCCTTCTGGCCCGCGCTGTCCACCCCTTCTACGCGGTCTTCCAGTGTTGCCAGCCTCTTTCAGCAAACCCTTTGGGCCCCGTACAATACCCACCCGTAAAGTATTTGGAGGCTTTTCTCAACAGCGAAATTGTAGTTCTATCTTCGGAGGAGACGGAGCTCCACCCTTTCTCGCACCAAAACGGGTTGTTACGAAAGGAAGGGTACCTTGTTGTCCTGCCAAAAGGTTAAAAAGGCACTTTGCAAATATCGAACAGAACATTACGTTTGTCTGTTGCATGCGTGTACGAACACCACCATTCGACCCATACAGCAGTAGATGTATCCCGTGCATGAATGTTGCCATAGCTAGTGGGTAACCACGAGATTTGTCCATAGCCCGACCCTTGCCCCACCCTCTCCTTGCGCGACAATAGAGAGAGAGAACAAAAGAGAAGGAGGGAGAGTGCGACAAGTGCACTTTGAAAAATAAAGTATCAAACAACAGATCATACGAAAAATAAATAATCACGTATACAGTTAACCCGGTGTTTGCCATCGAGGTTGGGTTTTCGTCACTGGCAAGGACGTTGTAAAACAAGCCGAACACTTCGTGAGCTCGGCAACCAGGTTACCTCGTTCTTTCTTTGCCTCTGTTTTTTTTTTTGCGGTAGCCATAATGGTGGTCGAGTAGATCATGTTGTGCGCGGTCGAAAACCCTCACTCCGCGCAAAGGGGATGATCGCACCGCGTTGTGTTAAAATTGGTCAAGCACCCTCGAGGCAGTTACACAGTGCTTATAACTGTCTATGGAAGTGAAAGCACCAGATAGTAAGTAAAGTCATACGCAGCTGTCGTCCGTACGCAAGGAAGTATGCACAAGATGCCGAACACCTTGGCAGGATGCAGCGCACCCTTCATGCGACTCGCCGAATACCTCACGGTGCTTCGCGCTTGGTGACGTAAGAGCCTGGTCCGGTGAGAATCCGGCGTGCTCCCTCCCATCTTTGTAGGGATGCGAGGTCAATGGTCTAACGACTACGGCATGCACGACTATGAGTACCCCCCCCCCCCCCGTTAAAACACGACTTCATCTTGCAGGCAGATATCTTGCCGCACGTTCTCACCTCGATTTCTTTGCAACCGAACTTATAGTTCGCTGGGTTCACCATCCTTTCCCACAACGGGTTCCTATCGCACGGCTCTCCCGCGTTGTTGACGTCGATATGAAACAGCCTCCTTCTGCCTCCTTCTTCGGGGGTGCTCGTTGTGTTAAATCCATGGTGAGCCTTTGGTTCTGATATTCGTCGAGTTCTCCAGTCTTTGTTGGACGTAGTTTCGTCCAGGGAAGAGACCGTTTCTGCTAGCCCTGCTCCAGCGGATGCCGTGGTGGCCAAGAGAAAGAGTGTGATCATGGCGTTGACGGCCGGAAGCGAAAAAATCCGCCTTCGAATCCGTCGGTCATCGACGTTAGCTGGTTTGGGCTGCCTTCTCGGGAAGGCTGCTGGTGCTGATGACGGACCAGTCATCGTGTGCTCCAACAAACGTAGACGGGTGCGCCCAGCAGCATCTACCCACCGAAGCTTGGAGCACGGTAGGTCGGCGTGGGGAGCAGCAGTCATAGAAGCAGCAGTAAGGCGCAGAGATGTTGATTTGGTTTTTAGAGACTGGCAGCCAGGGGTGAAATTGGATACCGGAGAAGCTGATATATCAAGATAGTGAGGAGGTACACCGTGTTGTATGGCGGCCTTAGGTTTGGGGATGAGAACGGAAGGCAGATGGCCGGCATGACGTTGCGCGGTGGCTGGATGTCGTTTCTCTAACAGCCCACATGGATCGAATCCGACTGTAAGGGCGTGTGATCAATGTATCCCTTAGTACTACTAATAACGGGAAAATGATACGATATAGAGCGCTCGAATGCTGAGCGCGATCTGTCTGCAATAGTTGCAAAGGCAACCCTCTCTCTGGTCAAGCTGGTTCCATTCCAATACCACTACCAAATAGTGCAGCATCACCGGTGGCAATGAATGTGTCAGCGTGCACCTCGGATTTATTTTCGGGTTTTATTTCCGGCCGTGGTGGGGGGTCCCAGTACTGGCAGTAATTACCGCCACATGTCGGTGGTACTGGGAACATCTGAAGGCGGTACCGTCATAGTTCATAACTGCCAAAAAGCTTCCACCATATATGCCAAAACCGGGACCCACCAAAGGCGGTAGCGCCGATAAACCAAGTACCGGGAGCCGCCGAAAAGAGTACCGCCAAATTGAAATACCGCGCTGCCTGTATCCGCCTAAAAAGACGGTACCGAGGTGTACCCTGAACGTTGTCGGTGTGCAGGCACACCGTCGAAAGCTGGGACCCCCCCTCGCGTTCCAATATCGGAATTGATGCTTCACAACCAACAGCTGTGCTCTGAGAACTGTTTCATTTGCGGTGTCATGGAGATTCCGATCAACGCACATCGATCAGTTGGGGGGGTCAGCTGTGAAAACTTGCTCAGGGGCAGAACGCGGGGCGGCGGTATTCGGAGGCCTCTGTCCGAAAAGTGCTACCCTGGGCTCGGCTGCCATGCAATGCCCTCTAGAGCGAACCGCGATAAATTCAACAATTTCTCTGCACGGGAACAAGAGGCACGGGAAACGTATAAGCATGTGGGTAGGTCTGCATGTCGCCGCTCTGATCAGAGGAAGAATACGTACTATGTCAAAAACGGACGAACCTATCATTTACGTGGGGGTGAGAGTGCAGAACGGGCAAGCAAAATAAGCGACATCAATATCGGGGTCCTGCTCAGTTCATTTTTCGTCGGCAACGTCGAGCACAGGTGTTCACACCTGGTACGGTAGGTGACATATCACTCACCCTGGATCGATTTTCAAAGCTCGATTTCTCTACAACAGAAAGAGTGGGGGGGGAGGGGGGGGGGGGCGTACTCTTATGTTTTGCATGCCTTAGCGGTTAGACCATATTGACCACGCGTCCTCGAGAGGACGGAGCATTGTTCCCGCAGGACCGATCACTGATGGCCAATCGTTCCTTCCTGCTTTGCCAAAGGTGGCTCAAGAATGTCTTCCCTAGTCTGTCTATCCTAACGATATACCTTCCCGCCTTTTCAAACCACTTCCTACTCCCCAGTACAGCTACCGTCCTCTCCTCTCTATTCCATGCCTCAAACATCTCCCTGTACGCCCCTTGCATTTTTCCCAGCTCAGTCATGTACACTTCCCTCTCCTCTTCGTACCACGGACATTCCACGACGACATGAACACGGTCTTCGCATTCGAAGCCGCAATCACATTTGAACTTGTCGTCTTCGTCGTCTACCGTCCTATGTCTTCGTCGACGTTCTCGAAGGCCTATGTCCCCGGTCCTGAATTGACCTTAAGCTTTGTCCCTGCATCCATTGGTCCATGTAGGTAATCCTTGAACCCTATTCCTTCTTTCAACATTCCGTACACTTCTAGACCCTCCTTATCCTCGGTTTCTTTGCTTAGATTCTGTTCTTCTCTCTCGGCGCAAGCAACAGATATCTTCTCCTTGAACCACTGCAGACCCTCCGTTTCCAGCGTTTCATCTTCGTCGATGTCTAACCCCTTCCATACGTGCCCCGGTGGTCTAGTTGGTATCCTCGAAACCTTCTAGAGGTCAGGTCAGGGGTTCGAATCCCGGCGTAAGCGAGCTTTTCTTGCAAATTGAGTTTTTCTCTCGCTTCCGCTCCTGGCCTAGTGGATAGCGTTAGTTCGTGTGTACACAGAGGGAAGAGAGTGCTGAACTCTTCTCGCATTAAAAATCGAAGGCAAAGTACCGCAGGAGGGGAGGGTAGAGAGGGGCTCTTCTGTGTGACCACGGGTTGGAGTAAACGGCGCTAGTGCTGTGAGCGCTGATTTGAAGTGAAGACAAAAAAAAAAAAAACGTCCTCTACAACCTTGACCCATTCCGTGGGTTGTCTACCCCTCTTTTTGTTTGCCCACTTCGTCTCCCATACTATCCTCGGCAACCTCTCCTCTCCCATCCCGCACATGCGATACTGCCATGTCAGCTTCCTTGCGTCTCTTCCCGACCCGGGGGTTAAAAATTGCGACGGTGGGGCCGTCTCGTCGAGAGCTGTCCGAGACACCCATCGTTTCATATTGTCATCCTCTTCGTGGAGAATTCGAGATTTGAAAAATCGGTTCAGGGGGTGTGGTACCTCATGTCACCTACGGTAAACAGAGCAGCAGAGTGTCGTGTGTGTGCCAAAGCTCAATGGGGGCCACAATAAAAGAAACTTCTCAGTAAGAAATCAGTGCAATCAGTAGCACCGCTCCCCTCCTACACAAGTAACGAGGG